ATAATAAAGAGGTATTCATCCTAGTATTTTTATGACGTAATAATAATAATAATAATAATAATAATAATAATAATAATAATAATAATAATATTAATAATAATAATAATAATAATAATAATAATAATAATAATAATAATGATAATAATAATAGTAATGTTATTTCAACAACCCCAAGAAAAAGTACTGTAAATAGATGTAAATTAGATATTGCCATTTTGTGTAAGTTTAAGGCTTAGAACAGTAGTTTTCCAGATCTACTTAAAGTCTTCCTAAATACTAGGATACCCATAAAGGATGAATTTGAAGTGGATATTTCAAAGCTTTAACCTGTATTTATAAAAACCTAAAACTGTGTTGCAATTTTTGGATTTTTTTTCAGTTTTTGTAAAAAGAATCAGACTTAGGACCTTTATCTTTATCCCGTTATATTGTCCCTTTTCCTAACCCAACCTATTTCTCTAACTCTAGTTGACCCTATCCTAACCCTATCTCCCTAACTCTAGTTGACCCTATCCTAACCCTATCTCCCTAACTTAATCTAACTCAACCTCTAACTAATTATAAAGTTATCAAAGCAGTATTTTCACATCCTTACCCAGAATTTCTCTACATAAGTTACACTGGTTTGGGGAACCCTGTAACTACATAAATATCTTGAAACTTATTACTACCAACTTCCTACTACCTAGATGAGGTTGAGAGACTTCTTCGTGAGTATAAACAGAACCAGGAGCTCCTGAGAAGAGTTGGGAGTAGATATTATCAAGTAGTTTATCCAATCCAGGTAACCGTAATCACTGTAGATAATAAGAGGAGAAAACTAGGGAGCCAGGGGTAGGGTTTAATAAAGTAAACTAGAGAGAAAAGAGGGCGGTTTACAACAAAAAACTGGACATTACAGAACTAGTTAGCAAAGAGATGGGTTTACAAGGGAAAACTAGACAGCAAGGAGGAAGATTAGCAGGAGAAAATTAGGGAGTAGGGAGATTGGTTTACAAGGGAAAACTAGATAGCAAGGAGGAAGGTTAGCAAGAGAAAATTAGGGAGTAGGGAGATTTGTTTACAAGGGAAAACTAGATAGCAAGGAGGAAGGTTAGCAGGAGAAAATTAGGGAGTAGGGAAATTGGTTTACAAGGGAAAACTAGATAGCAAGGAGGAAGGTTAGCAAGAGAAAATTAGGAAGCAAAGGGTGGTTTAACAAGCTATGGAGGAAGAAAGTGGGTTTACAGATTAAAACTAGGGAGCAAGGAGTTATCCATGGAGCAAAGCTATAACAGCCAGGGGTTAGCAGGTTAAAACTAGGGAGCAAAAAGTTATCCATAGAGCAAAAATATTAGAGCAAGGGGTAAACGGAATAAAACTAGGGAGCAAGGAGTTATCCAGGGAGCATGGAGATGAGAGCATGAGGTTGACAGGATAAAACTAGGGAGCAAGTAGTTATCCAGGGAGCAAGGAGATAAAAGCAAGAGGATACAACTAGGAAATGTATTATTTCTATGATGCCCATGTTTTCATAACAATTTCTTATTTAAAAGGTTCGACATAGAGAAAAGATGGGTATTTCAACACGGGAGATAGATAGTGGTATTCAACAAAAGGTAATTAAGCATGTCATCTGCTGTAGTGTCATATGTTTATTATCAGAATTATTTCAAATGGTTTTTAAGGTATTTTTCACAAATATGTGAACAATCTCATAAAAAGTCCTAGTAGACGAACTGTACCTCGAAAATAGTCACTCAACCATAAAAATATTTTTAAATATTATAATTTGTATTTTTTCCTCTAAATTACCTTTACCCTGTATAAATTATTTCCTAAATAATTCCTGCAAAATGCTTATCTTAATTAGTAATTAAGCTAAAGCGAAGAAACAACTTGACATTTAGGATTTAAATAAATTATTTTAATGCACGCTTTCCTGTTCTTATTAATACATATTTGTTGAGTCATTTCGATATAATAACTTTTCTTTTACATTTTAAACTAATCAAATATTGACTTAATCAATTGCTATTCACGACATTCTGCTAATTCTAAAAAGTGTAAACTTCAATTTGCAAAATTTGATTGAGGATAATTCAGAATATATACACGTTTATTTTGAAATCAAGCTGAGTACACGAGGAAAATAAGATCGGGGATACATCTTGCGAAGGATACCAGTAAAGAAATTAAACGCATTTCTTAGCAGTAAATCATCCAAAGCTTTTTATATACTTTTCTTTATAAAAGACTACCACAACGGTCATATATTGTCATATAAGGCCTTTACTTAGAAAAAATGTATTTTTCTTCCTCGGTTTACATAGCAAATAACATTAGCAAAATGTCAGGGTTCCTCTGTCAATTTTTACTTCATATTTGAGGAAAACTATAATGAAATGAAATTAGTACACACTCCCTTTGAATTTTAATATTCTAACTAATTGGCAATTTAGGTAAAATAATATAAAGAGTAAAGTAAAGTTTAAATTAAATTTATTTCATGAAACCGGGTTTAGTTTCATACTAAACCAACTTCATTAAACCTGGTTTAGTTTCATACTAAACCAACTTCATGACACCTGGTTTAGTTTCATACTAAACCAACTTCATGAAACCTGGTTTAGTTTCATACTAAACCAACTTCATAAAACCTGGTTTAGTTTCATACTAAACCAACTTCATGAAACCTGGTTTACTTTCAAACTTTCAAGCTTTATGAATCCTGCTTTAGTTTAGTTAGAATGGAAGAATGAATAGAATGAATTATTGTACAGGGTTCCTATGAAAGAGGGATGAATGAATTAATAAATGAATGAATTATTGTACAAGGTTCCTATTGAAGAAGGATGAATGAATTAATAAATGAATGAATTATTGTACAGGGTTCCTATAGAAGAGGGATGAATGAATAAATAAATGAATGAATTATTGTACAGGGTTCCTATGGAAGAGGGATGAATGAATGAATTAATGAATGAATTATTGTACAGGGTTCATATGGAAGAGGGATGAATGATCCTGGTACAGGAGAGGAACCAAGATATGGTCCCAGGGTAGGTTTAAAATTCAAATTGTTTACTGTTCATTCTACGGGATTTCTTTTCGTAGATTTAAGATTGTATAGTTCTTAAAAGGACTGTATTCGTCAATTTCAGTGACCCTTGCAATTTGTTTAGTGGTGTGTTCGATTCACCACAGTACCCTTCAAACAACCTTCAATTGTGGTTTCTCTTAAAATAAAAAAATGTATTGTGCATTTAGGCGATTTATGCTTTAGAGGAAATTAACAGAATTCAACACATTTAAGATAGAAAAAGGGAAGTATTTTTTCTCATTAATACTTTGATAGAAATTCAAGGGGCACCGTTATGAATCAAACATGACATTCTTTTTTCTTTTTTTAATGGAGGGTCACTTTAGAATCCATTTTATCATAGAGCAATAAAACGAAGAGGTGAAGCTTAGCTCAGATGTACACAACCGACCTCCCTATAAATGAATTAATAGAGTGGTCGGTTGTATACATCACGATATGTTTACCTATCTAACGCTGTACATGTATTTTATCTATTAAATCTAGGAATTCGTTTTTGTTTCCACCCTGGACTAACCAGAGTGAGCAGCATTTGGTGTCTTCTATTTGAAATCAATATAATTCAACAATCTTTTGCCGTACGGATTTGTCTCTGCAATACTTTTTCATTCAAATGCATATGCCAATAAAAAAAGTACTTCAGAAAAAAGACTAAAAAATTATGTATAATGGGTCAAATTGTGATCGAAAGTCACAGCTTTCTGGAATATTGCCAGAACCGTTAAATCCACGTGTTTTATGTGTTTCAAATTAAAATTATAAACAAGCTTAGATATGGCTAATATTGCGTGGTACCCATTAACTAAGACCCATTTTTAGTTTTTATATTAAACATCATCGAAACAGATTACTAGTCTGGAGAAAATTTTATGAAAATTGATCCTTGGATTTCCAGAAAAAATGTTTCCAAATTCTTGATAAACTTTTCTTATTTCAGCATCAGAAGCACTATAGACAAACTTCTCTTCTCATCAAAGCATTCCAGCACAAGTTTAGATTAGACCTAGAGTTAAACACGTAAGTTATATTTCAAATACCTAGAGGATTGCAACAACTTTAGGATAAAGATTTGATCACAAGAGTTTATATTTTAGTAACTTTAGGATAAAGATTTGAACACAAGAGTTTATATTTAGTAACTTCAGAATAAAGATTTGATCACAAGAGTTCATATTTCAGTAACTCTAGGATAAAGATTTGAACACAAGAGTTTATATTTCAGTAACTTTAGGATAAAGATTTAAACAACAAGAATTTATATTTTAGTAACTTTAGGATAAAGATTTAAACAAGAGTTTATATTTTAGTAACTTCAGAATAAAGATTTGATCACAAGAGTTCATATTTCAGTAACTCTAGGATAAAGATTTGAACACAAGAGTTTATATTTCAGTAACTTTAGGATAAAGATTTAAACAACAAGAATTTATATTTTAGTAACTTTAGGATAAAGATTTAAACAAGAGTTTAAATTTTAGTTACTTTAGGATAAAGATTTAAACAAGAGTTTATATTTTAGTTACTTTAGGATAAAGATTTGTACAATAAGAGTTTATATTTTAGTTACTTTAAAGATTTGAACAATAAGAAATTATATTGTAGTTACTTTAGAATAAAGATTTGGACACAAGAGTTTATATTTTAGTAACTTTAGGATAAAGATTTAAACAATAACAGTTTATATTTGTGTGACTTTTGTATAGAGATTAAAATAAGAAAAGGCTTTATTTCAGAAACTTTAGGATAAAGATTTGAACATATGAGTTTATATTTTAGAAACTTTAGGATAAAGATTTGAACATATGAGTTTATATTTCAGTAACTTTCGGATAAAGATTTGAACAAGAGTTTATATTTTAGCTTTATGTTTAAAGAGTTAAACAAGGGTTGAGTTAAGTTGAGACCACAAAGATATAGAGAAAATTTTGATTGTTTGGGATTAAGTATTATCTATACCCCCTTATTCTTTTTACAAAAGTGTATTGAAGTTTTTGAGAGAAATACAAATAAAGTTTTAACAAGTAAATTTATATTCCTTCCAGAAAGTACAGTACACTTAATATGAAAACAAAGATGGTTCCCATTTTATTTTCCTTGCTTGTAATAAAGATTGAAACAATAGAGCAAAGATCTCTACAGTTTCCGTTTCTACTTGACGTATAGTTAGTGTAAGAATGAGATAAATGTATATCAATATATCTTTATATTATATATATATATTGACACTCGAATATTGGTTCTATTCTGTTTGCTGATAAATTATGAATCAGGTTGAGTTGTATACATGTATGTATATATTCATGTTGTGTGTATTGTATATCTAATGTATAAAGATTCCTGCAACAATGAAAATGAAAATAGTTTGTTTTTATTTTTAGGATTTATTTTAGTTGCATACAGATCAAAATAAAATATATTCTTACCTTTTCATCTCCAGTCTAACCTCACTGCTAGACTTTTTATTTAAATTCTCTCAACTCTATTCTTAATCCTTTAACTGCAAACTCGACTCAATCTTTTTAACCATAAACTTAATCTCTTTACTCCTTCCTAGATTGTAGATTGTAGGTTGTAGACTGTAGGTTGTAGACTGTGGACTGTAGACTGTGGACTGTAGACTGTGGACTGTAGACTGTGGACTGTGGACTGTGGACTGTATATTGTGGACTGTAGACTGTAGACTGTAGACTGTAGACTGTAGGTTGTAGGTTGTAGACTGTAGACTGTAGACTGTAGACTGTAGACTGTAGACTGTAGACTGTAGACTGTAGACTGTAGGTTGTAGACTGAAGACTGTAGGTTAGACTGTAGACTGTAGACTGTAGACTGTAGACTGTAGACTGTAGACTGTAGACTGTAGACTGTAGACTGTAGACTGTAGACTGTTCCATAGTTTTGTTCTCATGTTTCTTCTCTGACCTGAGTATATTTCAAATCGATAAATGTATGCGTCTTTATTCTTATACCGATCTAATTTGACAATGCGGCATCCCCAATCGTCCCACCCTTCCCCTCACTCACTCCTTTACTCCCTACAGAACAATTCTACCATTCCCATTCCTAACAAGTTTCACCTTTTACATGCCTAAACATGACTCCAACTAAATACTTGCTATTTAAACTCCATCCAAACAGAGTTTCCTATCACTCAATCCTAACAGAGTTTCCTATCACTCCATCCAAACAGAGTTTCCTATCACTCCATCCAAACAGAGTTTCCAATCACTCCATCCAAACAGAGTTTCATATTACTATATATTCTCTAAATAATTTTATCATAATTAGTTTGTAATTTTTAGGCGACTTATTGCTCCAAACGTTCAAAAGAAGGTGTTTTTGACAGGCGGAGCAACCGCAACCTCAACCTCAGCTTCTCAGGTAGGATACTATTATATATCCTCAACCCCGGCTTCTCAAGTAGGATACTTTTATATTTCCTCAACTCCAGCTTCTCAGGTAGGATAATTTTATATACCCTAAACCTCGGCTTCTCAGGTAGGATACTTTTATATATCCTCAACTCCAGCTTCTCAAGTAGGATACTTTTATATATCCTCAACTCCAGCTTCTCAGGTAGGATACTTTTATATATCCTCAACTCCAACTTCTGATAGGATACTATTATATATCCTCAACCCCTGCTTCTCAAGTAGGATACTTTGAACCCCAAGATATTGTATTTTTAATGATATCCTTAGTTCTAAGAACGGGTTGGTTAATTCAGTATTAGATAACAGTAACCTTTTCTTCAGTTTCTTTGACCGGGTTAGGGTTGAGAAGATACTGCAGTGACCTCGAGACCCTTCATTAGCCCATCTATATTATTCTAATCTTCTAAAGTAGAGAATGTTTCAAGTGTTCTCCTACCCGGCAATAACCAAAGAGCATCAACAGATAAATGTTGGGAATGAACAAACAAACAGAGAAAGCAAATAACTTTTGAAATAAACCTCTCCAGTAATGATATTAAAATATTTAGACTGTCTTTAAACTAGCTTGAGAACCCACCCAGGGTACCCATAGTTACTCCCGCCTTTTACCCGCGCTTGGTCGTAAATTACGGTTTTAGCAATTTTTGGACCTAATCAACTTAGAATCTCAAAACCCTGTTAAGAACGTTCCCGTGGTTCTCCTATGTTACCAAATCAAAATTTGAGGCAAATCGGTCAAGCGGTTTTTGAGTTATGATCAGACATCCAAACAACCCTTCAGAGATTACTACTTTATATATACATGACTTAAAAAGCATTATCAAGGTTCTTTTATGATTTTTAATCCATTGTCAAGATTTCTTTCAACAGAGAGATATTTATGTGAATCATAGACCTGATTCTAACCTATATTCAGGATGTGGAGCACTGTTACTACCATGGAGTTGTGAAGGATTGGCAAGGAGGAGAGTTTATTCCAGGATCTATGGCAGCTCTCCAAACCTGTAACGGTGTCTCAGGAATTATTCATCTTGGAAACGAAACCTTCGTGATCCATCCTTTCTACGGAGGCGATCTCTCGGTAGGATATTTAGAACTTCGTTACATCAGTTTTAAGATTACTCGTCACAAACTCTAATTTTCTTGAATTTTTTGTAACCTGATGTCCTACAGCTTTGATATTCTCCTAGATCAATTATATATCATTATGTAGCAAAAATATAGTATATATAGAAAATTAGAGTTTGGTTTAAAACGCCATTGGAAAAATTATTGAAGCACAAAACAACGTTTTACATAACAAAAGAATAAAAAAAAATGTTTTTCATGTGAAATAAACTTAAATTGTAAAACATTTATAGATATTACAATATCAATTCAATTCCTGCAACTTTTTTAAGAAGAAAGATTTTCTAGCTTTTTGTAAGGAATGTCCCCCCCCCAAAAAAGTTTCGGCTTTGGTTGTTAATCTTAAATGTGTGTTTATCTACATTCTACATTCTGGTAGCAATTTAAACTCTTTCTAGTTTTAATGATATGAGGGTTAGAAATCTAAACAAATCAAAGTTTAGCATAAACTTTGTTTCAGAGCAAACACCCGCATATAGTTTACCACTCAGACCAGAAACCAAGGCAGCTCTGTGGGGTCTCGGAGTCCCAGTTTAGGGTCTACGATAACAGGATGAGAAGGGAGATTGGAGGGACCGGAAACCGAACCGAGCGTGATGTAAGATACGTCAATCAGTTTATAGAAACTGCTCTAGTACTAGACAAAGCAATGGTAAGAATAAACTTGACGTAATGATAAGAAGGAAATCATTGCGCTTTGCACCCCTTATTCAATTGAGCGCCAGACGTTTGTTTTCCTTAATAGATTAAACAATAATCATCAATGTTCGCTTTTACGATTTTTAAAGATGACTTTTAAAATTTTCAAAGTCTAAAATTCATACATATTTTTATGTTTTTAATTAATTAAATAAAATTTATCTACATTTTAACAAGGGTTTGATCTTAACTTTTCTTTTAATTAAGTTTGACAACCGCCCTGGTCTCTCCAGAAGAGATGTTATCCATGAAGCTATTCAAGTTTCGAATATTGCAGATCTGGTAAATTATATTTCAGATTAACTGGTTAAACTAAGCTTTCTTCTTAAATATTGATATTTAATCTGGAACCTAATAATCGACATGCAATGTTTCTTCATCATCGTGGAGATTTTTAAAACTTGTAAAACTAAATCATCCCTCTGCTGCCCGCGGTATCTCGGGCCATTCATAGGGAGACCGTATACTCTGCTGCCTGCGGTATCTCGGGCCATTCATAGGGAGACCGTATACTCTGCTGCCCACGGTATCTCGGGCCATTCATATGGAGACTTTATACTCTGCTGCCCCGGTATCTCGGGCCATTCATGTGGAGAATGTATACCCCGGTATCCCGAGTCATTCATAGGGAGACTGTAGACGTCTAATTATCATGCATGTCAGAATCCAAACGATACAAAATTATACTCTTTTAACCTTTGTCTCATCATCGAGGACGAAGAAATTCGAGTTTTCTTCTTGAATATATGTTGTCTCAATATATGCTGATGATATAGTGTCAATATATGATGAATATAAAGTGTCAATATATGTATAATATATAGTGTCAATATATGTATAATATATAGTGTCAATATATGTTGAATATATAGTGTCAATATATGTTGAATATATAGTGTCAATATATGTTGAATATATAGTGTCAATATATGTTGAATCTACAAATGTAGAAAGAAAATATTTTTTACCACGATCAAAGCATTTTGTGGAAAAAAAATGTTTGTATGCTTTAAACATCATTTTACAGCAATTTATAAACGACATGTTCTTCAGCAGAGAAGAGAACTATTACTTTCCTTGATACTTTGTCCAGAGAAAAGAGTTTTCATGAAGGTGTGATAATGGATGGTGGGGAGAGAAAGAATGGAGTTTACTCAGGGTTTCTAGGATGACAGATAAATGAGTAATTGAAATATTAGATTAGGAAGTAAACAGGAAATAAAGAAATAGAAACTTTTAGCAAAAAAAGCAATTAATTTAAAAAAAAAATGATTGGTTACTTTTGCTGTCTTCATCATTATCATACTTACAAGGATTTGCAAGTTTAGCATAGTAGGGTTTAAGGTTTGATAGATAGTGTAGGGTATGGTTGGATGAATATAGTAGGATAAGGTTTGATAAAGCGAGGTTTTTAGAGATATAATAGGTTTGGGTTAAATAAAGATAAATAATGGGTTGAAGTTTTATAGAGAGAGAGTAGGGTTGGGTTGGATAAAGATATTAGAATGAAGTTTGATAGAGATAGTAGGGTTGGGTTGAATAAAGATATTAGAATGAAGTTTTATAGTTATAGTAGAGTAGGATAGGGTTAAACAAAGATAATGGGTTGAAGTTTTATAGAGCGAGTAGGGTTGGGTTGAATAAAGATATTCGAATGAAGTTTTATAGAAAGAGTAGGGTTGGGTTGAATAAAGATATTAGAATAAAGTTTTAGAGAAAGAGTAGGGTTGGGTTGAAGAAAGATATTAGAATGAAGTTTTATAGATATAGTAGAGTAGGATAGGGTTAAACAAAGATATTATAATGAAGTTTGATAGAGATAGTAGGGTAGGATAGAGTTAAAAAAAATAATGAAAAAAGTTTGATAGAGATCAAATAGTGGTTCGGTTGAAGAAAGATAATAGATTTAAGTTTTGTAGAGAGAGAGTAGGTTTGGGTTGGATAAAGATATTAGAGTGAAGTTTTATAGTGAGTAGGGTTGGGTTGGATAAAGATATTATAGTGAAGTTTTATAGTGAGTAGGGTTGGGTTGGATAAAGATATTAGCTTGAATTTTGATGGATAGTCGGGAAGGGTTGGGTTGGATGAGGAGGAAGGTGTTTGCTCTCCTCTCAGCCTAGATTGAATAACCCTAAACCTCCGAGAGTGGTTTCAAGGAAAAGGTTCGGAACTAGGAGTGTGTGAGAATAGCATGAATTCATCGCATTAAATATTTACATAGAAATGAGAGAAACGACCNCACTCTAACCTTAACTAGGCTCAGTTCCGCCTGTCTCACATCATTTCCCGTCGTTGTTTTGACAAGCATATATTTTGTCAAAAATTTTTCTTTTCTCTTCAAGTGCTTAACACTCAGGTTTGAAATATATCTATTTTGTTGTTTGTGAGAGAAAGGTTCACACCAGGAAGAAGTTTTTATTAAGAATTTAGAAAATATTACGTCCAAATGAACCTGGTTGGGTTTCCTATATAAAAGATATTTCTTCTAGATTAAAACTTTTTAGTCCTTGTATTGTAAGCGTTGCTTCTTAGTTAAACACCATAGTTTCAGTAGAAGTAAATATTTCCATTTACTGATACCGCCGATTTAAGGTTTCATAACTCTAATTGGATAATGAGATAGATAGAAAGATAGATTTTACCGCCATACTATTTCTATTGGTTCAGAGTAGACATCAAACACATGACTAAACCCTGATTGGATCAGGCGCTATTGGACTCGGCATACAGGAGTGTGAAGTGCCAAGGACATTTTTACAAAAAAATACAAATTAAAAGTTAAGGTGGCAAGGACAGGCTAGGGGCCAAGCGTCGCGGCTATGGCAGGCTGGGGGCGGAGTACCGCGGCTAGAACAGACTAGGTGGGCCGAGCGTTGCGACTAGTACAGGCTAGGGTGCCTGCGCTGCGACCACAGATTTATAAAATGATGCACATGTGATAAATATCTTTTAAATTAGCTCCTTTGAACATAAATTTTTATTTTATTTATATGAACAAAAACCCGGTATATAAACAGCTGACTTAGCTCAATCGGCTATTAGTTCAATCGATATAGCATTAAAGAGAAAGGTCTGTTTTATATCTTTCCCCCTGTATTAATCCATCTAACTATCTATCTATCTTTATATTTATTCTATTTACCTATCTTTTTATCAGAACAATATTAAAACTTCTTCAAAATTACATTTTCTTATCATCTTGCCTTAATAGAGGGACATGTCCGATTTTCTTAGAAATGTAACTTTAAACCTTATATCTTAGAAACAATTAAGAAGATATCGTGATGTTCTATTTGAAAATATTATTGAAATCTGACTATTCTCTCCCTTTCATAAAGCACCGAAATTGAAAATAATAATTGTGTTTAGATAAAAAAAAATAACTCCATCATTTTTTGCTTAGACAAAGGTTTAAAGGGCGTTGTGAATAGGGCATGCCTCTCTAATAATGAGGGGTTCCTTAAATCATTTCTACAGTCCCTAGTTTTAATCTTCTCTTTTATTTTTCTCTCTATATCCACATTGAACACTATGCTAACATTTCTTTTTTTAGTATTTCAAGAGCTCCTTGAAGACCAGGTTATCCATTGTGTACGTGGAGACGTGGGAGGTTGAGGACCAAGCTCCAGGGATATCCAAGCAGATCAATATAAACAAGGAACCATATCTTCAATCAGACTTTTAAACCAGTTTGTAGGATCCATTTTATTCTCTCAGATCAATTTTTCTGGGAAAAAGAAGATAATTTTCCGATATCTTCTTGGTTCGTATTATATAAATATGTTTTAACTACAGGGATTCGGATTCAGGATCCAGTATAAAAAGGATCCAGAAATCTTAACGTACAAAATTAAATCCTATAGCTGAAAAATTATCTGAAACGGAAAACATGTTTTTTTCGTCTGTAGGAGGCAACTTGAAAGATTATTATTGGTCTCCTCTCTTAGGATTGGAAATAGACTCTGGATTGGTAGTTGAAAGAGAAGGATAGCTGAGGGGTGGGGTGGGAGAAGGAAGGTGGATTAGGATCTAGATAAGTATTTTAGCTCAGGTTGAAAGAGGAGATGAAAACTATCCCCTGAATGCATAATTTCTTGCATAAAGAAGAAATGTTTGAAGCCAAGATGCAAAGTACTGGCGCTGTCGACTCCGATGTTTTATTTAGAAGAGAGAAGAAGAGGAGTGGACTAGGATACAGGAGATAGGGGGGAGTAGAGGAGAAATGGAGTGGGAGAGGAAGAGATGAGAAGATGAGTGAATCAGTAAAATATATAACAAGTGGAAGATTGGAAGGGAGAAGGAGTGGAAGAGTAAAAAAGTGGAGAAGAGTAGGAGAGGCATGGGAGGGAGGAGAGGGAAAAAGTAAAAGAGATGAGGAGAGGAGGGAAGAGGAGTAAAAAAGTTAAAGAGAGGAAGAGTTAAAGAGAAAAAAGGGGAGTGAGGTGGAGGGGAGAAAAGAAAGGAGGAGTGGAGGGAAGACCCCTGTTTCTCCTTGATTTAGCTTATTTTACAACAATCTCTGTCTTGTGAAGAGAAGAGTCTAGAAATCAAGTTTGGAATTGGATTTTAAATAAATGTTGAATAGATACTGAGTTGAAAATGAAAATATGGACATTTCTAGGCAATGGAGGATTTTAGCTCTTATGTAAACCGTCAACTGCAGTATATAGAACGAGATACAACCATGCTCTTCACGTAAGTTTTAATTCTAAAATCAGGAGCTAATACTTTGATGTTTATCCTTTGGAATATGCTTTGACATTTTTTAGAACTTTTGTTTTGACAATTATAAAATGATATTCACTTTTGTTGGATCATTAAGGCTGAAAGGAACCAAAAAATTTCAATTTTATTTGAATGTTTTATTTGAAAATATATTTGTAAATGGTTTGGATGATATATTGTTGACTCAAGTCTGAAGATAATGGTTACAACTCTCTGTATATTTTTGTAAAAATTCAGATTTGTAACAACACAAGTAGTGTTCAGTTTAGCCGGAGGCTAACATTTTGCAGAAACCTTTTTTCCTGATTAGGAGTAAACAAGTGCAAACATATCTTTTCCTGATTAGGAGTAAACAAGTGCAAACATATCTTTTCCTGATTAGGAGTAAACAAGTGCAAACATATCTTTTCCAAGTACAATTCTTATATATCTCACAAACATGTTACCAGGCACTAAATTAAAAAGATTAGGAGAAATAATATCTTTTTAATTTTGCTTTTATTTCAGGGGTCGGATCTACAATACTGGAGAAACTACGACTGCAAGTGTAGGACGGATCTGTACTACAAGATCAGTTGGAATTAGCGTAGATGTAAATCCGTTCGAACCTCACATCCTGGCCAGCAACTTCGCGCATGCTGTAGGACATAACCTTGGCTTCGGACATGATGACCGGCCTTCAGGTAGGGTTTATCATGGTTCAAGGTTTATCAAGATTTAAGGTTTCTCAGTTCCTTTGCATCCAAGTTTTCAATTTTTAAGGTTTAAGATATTTAAGTTTCTTGGTATTTTCAGATGAAACAATTTCCAGGTTTTAGACTTTTTAGATTTCTTGGTGTTTTGCTCTCTAAATTTCCTGCTGTTAAGGTCCTTGTTTCCAGGGTTTCGGGTGCGCTAAATTTTCTAGGCTTCCTTTTTACAGGTTTCTAGATTTCCTTTTTACAGGCTTCTAGGTTTCCTTTTTACAAGTTTTTAGGTTTCCTTTTTACAGGTTTCTAGATTCTCATGTTTCCGAGTATGTAGTTATCCGTGTTTCCCCATATTTTTATTAATTTATATTTGTGATATATACCCCCTCTGGGAGTGTGGGGAACTAGAGTAGGTTGTAGAAAACATCTATTATCTTTTACCATTCTTTAGTTTATCTTTTAGAGTTAACTTAAATCAAATAGTTTATCAAGTACAATCACTGTGATTATCAAGTACAATCACTGTGATTATCAAGTACAATCACTGTGATTATCAAGTACAATTACTGTGATTATCAAATACAAAAGGTGAAAATGAAGAATCTGTAAAGATTCAGTACAGGTTCATACCTGTATTTTAAGTCGCAGGTGACATCACAATTTTCAGTGCAAGACAAGATATTCAATAATCGTCATAAAGGAATTGAGATTTCCTAGTCCCTATATCTTTTCATCCCAATATCCCAATGTTGTAGACCTTAGATATTTCAAACTATGCATTCTGTTAGATGTACTCAGTGTACAAAGTACGCAGAAAACTAGAAAGAAAATGTTTTCTCTGTACAAAGTATTTTCACAGAACAAAGTACAAAAAATGCCAGGATAAACATTGAAGGGTTAATCCATTTCTTCCAGTATTAGAACGGGGAATAGTCTCACCTTGAACCTTTCTCTGGGTACTTGGTCTACTTGGTCTCAACCGTATAACTCTACAGATAGAGTGCAAAAACGCACAATGGATTTTTTTTAGCTTAAAAGTAGTGACTGGCTAGGTATGGTACTTGAACTGAGAGAAGTAATCAGATATCCTTGTATGAATGCATGTTTGTATCAATGGAATGTTTTTTATTTAATTTTATTTCAGCTGCTGCAATAGATCCATGTAGTTGTTCCGACTGGCACGGTTGCATCATGAGATCAACAGTTAGTGGAGAGGACGGAATCCAACCCTACAAGTTCTCAGGGTGCAGTGTTGACCAGTTTCAAAAGTGGATGGATCAGGGGTCTGCACTCTGTTTGCTCAACCGGCCTAGGAACAGAACAAATTTTATCAAATAAATTTATATTTTTCTTTTTTCATTTTCCTAGGTTTCTTTTGAACAGATTCAGGCCGGCAAGTGGGAGACAAACAGAGTTGTTATTCCAATATAGACATCTCTTTCTTCTATCTCTTGTTTTTACCCAACCCTAAACCTTTATCCAAACTGTAAAAGTATAATCTGCTGAACCTCGCAAACATAAATCTATCTCAAATTCTTCAATCAACGTTTATTTAAACAGAAAAGGATATTTTTAATCTTGATCGTTACATCCCCGTTATCTAGTCTAGACCTAGACTCTTCTCCGTTCTTATCTCCGGGTTTATATCTAATCAAGGGAAACTAATTGAATAAGATTTGTTATTGTTGCAGTGAGATTACCACTGGACAGTGTGGGAATGGTATCCTAGATGATGGAGAGGATTGTGATTGTGGATCTGATACAACATGTGAAAGTAATCCTTGTTGTAGCAGTTATACCTGCAGGTTGAGAATAGATGCTGAGTGCTCCTCAGGTCCTTGTTGTGATAACTGTAAGGTAATTATTCAACAGACAATTGTTTCTTTTCACTAGAAGGGGTTTCATTTTCTGGAGATGGACGGAAAAGGGAGTGGGCGCGGGGAGACGAACGGAAAAGGGAGGGGGCGGGGGGAGATGGACGTATTGAGGGGGCGAGGAAAAATGGGTGATTTTTCTTGTAAATGATTGTTACAAATTTAGAATACCCGGATTAAAAGTTGAATCTTTATGAAATGAGTTAATTAGACAGTCTAGCAGTGCTCTTGTTTGATATTATTATTATTATGTGTCTACTTTATAACCTCGTATTTCACTCTGAATTCTATAGAAATTGCAATATTTTACAGAATATTAATTATTAACTATTCTCAAATACATTGTAACAAGCATCAGTGTATTCGCTTTAAGATCATACAATGCAAATATCATCAGATTAATTACATGCAAGAATAGCTGCCAAACCAGTCATCCTATTTCATACAACTCCCTTTCCCTTCTACTTCGTACTATCCCTCCCCCCTGATTCCAAATATACATACACGTTAAAAAAAAATCCCCCTAGTGCGTGTTTCTCATCCTGCAATCCTCTCTATTGAGGTATGTTTCTTGTCTCCTTTCAGTCCTGACCTAATTCCAATATTATTTCTAGTTGGAACAATTTCTTGAATAAGGTTCTAGAGTTCTCTACCTTTCAAGTTATATATTCTACAAACTTATTTAAAATTTATAAATTCTGGAGAAAAAAACTTGTTAATGGTATCGTTTATGTTGCTTTTTATTTTATTAGTTTTAGCTACTGCAGCATTTGCCGCACTATAGGAACTTTCTTAACTCTTCACAAAGGTTGAATTCTCGATGAGTTTATATTTATGAGAACAAATATACTGTTTAGTGGGGAGTGTCCGACTATGGAGGATCAGTGCACCTTGTTGTGGGGGCACAATGCTATCCCTAGCCCCCAGGAATGCTTTAATACCTACAACGTGAAGGGGAATCAGCAGGGGAACTGCGGGCAGAACAAGTTTAAATACTCAAGGAATGAGGAGGCAGAGACAGAGTACAGAAAATGTAGTTTAAGGTAATTTTAGATAGTTTTGTGTAGTGAATCTTAGAATCAAGAATTTATCTCCATCTTAAGCAGACTTAGACGGATTAATTTTATTCTTCTTTGATATCCCGTGAGGGATGCATTATAAGGTTTTTTTGTATATCATAAAGTCTTAATCAGAAAAACCCGGATTTTATTTACAGTTGATAAGACGATAATCTAATTGGATAGTGGATACTCTACTGTACAATTTAGATAGCTCACTGTGAATTGGATATATTACAGCTTATTGGATGGTTTACTGTACAATTTAGATAGCTCACTGTGAATTGGATATATTACAGCTTATTGGATAGTTTACTGTACATTGGATATTTTACTGTACTCTGAATATTAGATTATCTACTTCTTATATAGCAACTCTGAATATTTAACTATCTACACTGATTATCTAACTATCTACTATAAATATTTAACTATCCACTCTGAATATCTAACTATCTACTCTGAATATCTAATTATCTACTATTACTATCTACTAAAAATATCTGACTATCTACTCTAAATATCTAACTAGAACTATCTACTATAAATATCTAACTATCTACTCTAAATATCTAAATATCAAATGCATGAAAATAACTGTGTATAGTTATGTATGATGCAGTGTATTTAAATACTCTATGGAGACTATGGATACTTGTATACGGTATATTGTATATGATAAACAACTGCAGTATAATGCCTTTTATCCGTGTTAAAAACAATTTTCCTTGAAAAATTGTATATTTTCTATACCGCAATGCCTCATTTACTTCCACAAAGCGTAAATATATTTAGGAAAAAATTGGTATATAATTTTAAAAATCGATAATATGGCCAAAACCTCCCACTCAACCTGCTCAGCTGGATACCCTCTGCTTTATTATGATTGATAGCGTGAAGCAAGGTATTAATGCAAGGAAAGTGATTTCAGAGGTGTTCGCATTTTATGTACTGCAGTGTTCTGTCTTTGGGCGGAAAAGTAAACACAAGACAGATGTCACACCCTGACATGGAATCCATTTTCAGAAAAATAATCTATGAAATATTCTGGTCATATTATTATATTATGTGAATTATCAAAATATTCAAAATTGAATGCTGTTATGCTTCTCAGATACTAGACGAACTGATGCATCTATTCTTGTTTACAAATTCCGCCCAGAGAGAGCTGGTTTCAATATGTACGCAGATAATACACGACCGCAATTAACTAAATTAGTATATACTGTATACTGTACACTGTACACTGTACTAGACAGGGACATGATATAACCAGGTGTTTGTGTACGGGGAAGAAGGGGGGGCGAAGAAAAACCTGCACACAATTTTTTTTTCTTTTTATAATTTTGTGATTGCTATACAATTATTCTTATTATTTTGTATTTGACTTTAACTTAAATTTGACGTTTTGTAGTAAGCTTGAATTTCGGCCAAACATCGAAAGAATTTGTAAAATGACGTCTTCAAAAATGTTGAATGGGTTTTGACTATTTATTATACCTAAATCTCAGTAATTGTAAAAATGAATAAATAACCATGAAATTTGCGGGAACAGATTTAAAGAGCTTAATATAATTATTCAATTAAATACTTAATATCTGCAGCATTCTATTGTCCGTAGGTTTAGAAAACGACATTTTATAAATTCTTTCGGTGTCTCCGAAGTTTTGATTTAAACTGCAGTAGTAGTAAATTTGTATTAACTTATTATCAAAACTGGTAAACATTTCTATTGTTCACATTAAAAATTGTTTAAAGTTAATTATCAAATTCTATCTCAATTTTTTGTTGGTTTTCTAGGAAACTGCTAAATAAAATAAAAAACTTTACTGACCTACTGATAACTGTATTATCTTTGAAAAATTTATATGTTGATATGTTGATCCTACATTGGGAGGGGGCGGTCCCCGGTATGGATCGCAGGGGGCAGCCACCAAGTTACCCCCTTCCCCTATAAGGTCCTGGTGCTAGATATAGATTAATAGAAAAATATAAGTGAATGTTTAGACAATAGAAGAGCTAGAATGTATTCTCCTGTTATCCCCTCCAACCTTTATAGATTCCCAATATTCCTAGATGAAAAATTACCCGTCCCTATTCTTATTTGAATTGAGAGGAAGAATAAGTAATTCTAATCTATTTCAGACAAGTATAGAGAAATATATATAGTTTAAGATTAGATGGGTTTCTACACAAATAATGGATTTTACGTAGATTTTATTTTTAATAAATAGGGGTTAAGGGGAGTGTTCGTGGAAATAATCATATGACCCTTCATTTTAGAGAAGCATGCCCGATGCTCAACGTGACCAACCACCGTCTGGGTAACAAGGAGAAAGATATCATCGGTTTTTCCATAAAAAGTCTTAAATTCTCACAACTTTACTCAATTTCTCTGCAGCAAGATAGAAGATCTATTGTTTTCAGCTAGAAAAATATGGATTTCTCATTTAGACCCTGGTTTAATAACGGGTCTCTTAGTGAACCAAGTTTTAAGAATTTCCGGCGGCAGTTTTTCAGATTAATTAAGTCTTGTTACTTTTTAACAAGTTAATAATCCTCCAATGTTTTGAAACTGTCCTTTTAAGTCTCTCCATGGAAAAGCTAATGTTGCCTTGTTCACCTATTTATTACAATTTAGCCTAGGAATTTTTAGGAAAATTATACACCAGTATAAAGTTTAGAAAAATAATATCCCGACATGTATGTTTTACAAAATTATATCCCTGTATTAAGTTAAAAAATTTATATCCCAGTATAAAGTTAAAAAAAAATTATATCCCTATATAAAGCTTAGAATGGAAAAGTGATATTCACATCCCACCTTTTCTTTTAATCAAAAAACGTGAATCATGTTCAATATTCAAATTTCTCCGAATAACTTAGTAATAATATCTTCAAATCTTCAGCAAGATTTGAAAATATTAAACTAAGTTTTCAATAATAATTATTTTGTATGCCTTTATTACACTTTAAAAATATTTTCTGCTTCATAATTTTTATAAATTTTCAAAAATGATTAAGAGAGATTATTTCAGTGATGTGAACTGCGGCACAATTCACTGTATGAAAGGACAAGGGAAACCAATAATAGAAGGAGATGTAACTCATATCAACTCACAGGTATATATTTACCCTCAAACATACTCCAACCCCAACCCTGATCAAAAAAAATTTAAAAATATTAACTCTGTTATATCGAAAATATTAACTCTGCTGAACGAGAAGAAAATAAACTGTCGAAATAAAAAAGATTTGCCTGGGAAAAATGTCAATATTTGTGAACTGAGTTTTTGCCGTAAACTCAAATTGTCTAAACCCTATTGATCTTTTCATCTGATGATGTGGATTTTTTTATCCAACATAATTCATTGTTTAAAATAGGTGAGGTCTACAATATGGGTGGCAAAGATTAGGGATTTAAGAATCAGTGTATAATATTAAAAATCCGCTAAAAGGAATTGAGTCTTTGCCACAAACTCTGATTTTCTAATCACTATATCTTTGGAACCAAATGTTGCAGACCTTATATATTTCAAGCTATGAATTCTGTTAGATCAAATAATCTGAGTTTGAAATATCAAAGGTTTACAACATGAAGTTCTACAGACATTGGGGTTTAAATATTTATTTTGTTCCAAGAACTCAATTCCTTTGTGTTTATTGGAGCAAACAACAACTTTGCTTATCATTCTAAGATGTCTCTGTGTTAGGGCCATAATGATACTTTCCTTTTTTTGGAAATTTTCTGTAAATATGTGAAGCAATACCATATATTTACATTGTTCGTCGAGATATCTTGCACTTAAATATACTATATACTAAAGAGCTTGGTATATACTATAAATATTCTAATCTCCTGGAGAAAATCAAGACGTAAATTCGTTAATTGATTTGAAATATTTTTTTTTATGTATCTGTCCCTTTTGGTTCCAAAATAATTCTTAGAACATAAAAATTGGAAAACTTTCATGTTTCTATTTTCAGAGTTACGTAAACAAACAACAGCTGGAGTGCAAAGTGATGTCTGGAAGCCTAGGTCCGGGTTTCCAGGATATGGGATTGGTCCAGGACGGAGCTAAGTGTGGAGAGGAGAAGATCTGCATGAATAGAACCTGTATATCTCTGGGTCTATTCAAAGATTTTGGTAACTGTCCTAAGAGCAGTGTTGGGAACGGATCAGTCATGGAATGCGGGGGAAAGGGGGTAAGGTTTTTTGATCATCAAAAAAGTTAGTTTAAAGTTAAAATCTCCTTTGATTGAATAACTTTATATATTATGAATTGGGTCTGTGTTGACTATTACAAGTTTGTTCTTCTCCTCCCCTTCTTCTCTTTAATCTTCTAATTGAATATTCATCTTTTAAAGGGAGAGTTGAGAGTTCCGTATTGTATTGTTTTCAGGATTCATTCAAAATATCCCTCCAGAATGGACAATCCAGGAGGATTTTTAAGATTTGCGCTCTTGCTGAACAATTATCCACGTCAAAACGACTCATAGATCTTAAATGAATTCTGAAAAATTCCTCTATAATACTGCACTCTCGGCTCACCTATCAAGTCTAGCCAGTTTCTCCCTTTAAACAGATTCAGGTTCACATTGATTATTGACTTAGTTTATTATTTTTTTCTCCAAAATTAGTTATCTGGAAACATCTATCTATCTATCAGAAACTGTTATTTTTGTGTTTTCAATAGTCCTCAAAATATGTTCCCTTGGAGTTTAATCTATTTTCTGAACTGTAATTATATTTCCTTCTGTTTCCTAGGTGTGCTCCAATATGGCAACCTGTATCTGTTTTGCTGGTTGGACAGGGAAGGATTGCTCCGAGAAAGCTGAAAGCTGGCATACAACCCTGATTCCACCTTACAAGGATCCTAGAGACGCTTTTACATTTCCACCAGGAGAGGATCCGGGACCCACTAAATCTCACACTCATGTCTGTAAGTGATTTTATAAATACTTTTTCTCTTTAAACCCCCCAAAAGTAGGATTAATATTACAAGCCTTGAAACCTTTCCATACATTTTTCAATTTGGAGAGTTATCCAAACTATCTAAAATTGTCCCTTTTACTAAATTTAATATAGCGAACTCCGCTCAACCTGGGAGACAGACCCATCTAGTGGACACTGCTGAGTCTAACACTGTGTTCTTGGTGGTGGTTTTGATACTTGGAGTAGCTCTTATATTCATATGCTTCGCGCTGGTCGCAGTTTGCTATAGGTAGAGTTTAATGTCGGTCAATAATCGGTTGGTGTTTTTGCTTAATTAATCAGCTGGTGTTTCTGTGCTGTGCCTGACTAATCAGTTGTAGTACTGTACTGTGCCAAATGGATCAGTTGTTGTACTGTACTGCTCTGGAGAACTAATGGTTGTGGTGTTTTTAACTATAAGAACTGTGCATGAACTCATCTGTATTGTGCTAAGGGTTTATTGGAATATATCAATGGGAAGCAAAATCAAAATGCAAGGGGAGGAAATCAGGATCATTTAATCTTTCAACGCAAAAAAAAAAAAAATGCAATTAAGGTTAATTTAAGAGATTGATATTTATGATAGTCAAAATATGTTCTCAATGAAACTAATATGATGATTTAAAGATAATAATAATTAAGAATTTAAAAACAAGACGGGCGCCATTTTATAGTTTCCCGAGATACGCGTCTGAAAACATTAAGCTGTCTGTAAGGACTAATAGAAAAGATTCACGTTTAGTTGAAGAAGTTTAAACATTTACAAATACATATCCGCGGTTGAAAGGGACAATTTTCTGTCAGAAAACAATTAAAGTGTTCGGCATGTAAATACTTATTAATGATATGACCTGTCACCAAGGATGTGTCCGGGAGGGGAGGGAGGACAGGACAGGTTCGGATAATTAATTAAGTAATTAACCTTCTTCAGACAGTTTACCAATCCCTACAACTAATATGTACGCAATCAATAATCCCCTTTTCCAACTAACATTGTTTTCTTATTTTCTCCTCCGGCCCCTCTTTCTCTTATAAGTTTCCCCTCCCTTTACTATACCGTAACAGATTTCATTCCCGTCCCTTCCCTCCCCTTAGCAGGTCTCATTTCCCTCCCTGCCTAATCCTTAGCAGGTCTCATTTCCCTCCCCGCCTCCCCTTAACAGGTCTCATTCCCTCCCTGACCTCTCCTTATCAGAGCTGGGAACTTTAGAATGGTGGATATCGGGATTAATGCTTGATCCACTCTTTTTCTTAATCTCGAGTGGCTGGAGGACTGCATGAATTGTGCATGTTTGTGTAGTAAAAGAGAGCGACAGCGACACTATCATGATGGTGATAGTTCTGGTGGTTGGTGTAGGAGGGATCTTTATTCTCTTCGCTATACTTGCACTCTGCTACAGGTAACAAGCATCCTTTGTTATACATTTTTATAAAACCCTAGCTGAAGTGCCCGGCGTTGCCCGTGGAACTTTTTTTAAATTTTGAATCTTTTTTAGCATATATGTTACTCCCCGGGTACCGATGGGTTCCCTCAAAAAATGTCAGCCCATTCGGTTCAGCCGTTTGGTCAGCTACAGCTAACATATAAATATACAAATATGTATATATACTTATATATGTATATACTAGGCTTTTAGGGCGCTTCCCTGGCTTTGATGAGTAAACTAAGGTTTTATTAATTCGTTACGTACATTTTACATTTTTTCTCTTTTAACTGCTTGTCTTTGGATTTAATAGAAGAAGAAAAATTATAACTTTTTTGACTTTTTGTCAGTAAATGGCTTTTTATCGTTTATTGGTAAACGTTATGTTTAGTTTACATTACGTTATTGTTTACATTCCACCAAAAAATATAAATAAACTTGTTTTTTCCAAGCATAATGTTCCACACTTTTGGCTTGGACAAAACTTTGTTAAAATTTTCATGACTCCATTTCTAAAAAATGAAAAATATAATATTTTATTAAAATATAAAAATGTTGAATGAAATTGTAGAACTCATTAAATAGAGTAATACGTCACAAAGATATTATTAGATTTTAATTTAATTTTTACTAAAAATAGCCCAAACACTTTTTACGTCTTCTTTTCTAATTATTTTCATTCATATTTTCGCCTGCAGAGAAGATTCATTTTCAAGAAATAAAAATGAATATTTTTTAGCTGAATAACAAATTTTGGTAATTGCACTTAACGATATACTTAACGTACTCCATGTCATACTTATAAATATTCTTTATTATTGTTTTATTTATTCAGGTCTATTGTAGTTTACAAAAACCTGTCATTATGTTTGAGGTTAGTTATCAGAAAACAGGAGAATGCAAGCCCCCCCCCCCTCTCCCCTGTTTTTAGCCAGAATAAAGTCCTAGACTGGGCTTGCCTGAATTGCATCTATCAAGCCTCATTTCTCCGCGAAATATGAACTATGCTTTGCCTGAGTAAGATTGGAAGGTATGGGTGACGCCAAGGAAAATCTTCAAGAACTAGTTTTTTGTAAAGATAAACACGTTTGGTGGCAAGGAACTCCAGATTCCACTGTACCATATCACCCTACCCTTCACGGTTACATTATTATGCTTGAGAATATGGAGCTTGTCGTCCTGTATTGTATAACCTGGACTTCAGTATGAAAGACTCTGTACTCCGTACAGTGTACACAGTGTGTACAATTTGCACAGAGTACAGTGCACCATTGATCTGTAAATACAGTACTGTGTTCTAGGATCTGTACATACAGTTCAGTGCACTAGGATCTGTACATAAAGTTCAGTGCACTAGGATCTGTACATAAAGTTCAGTGCATTAGGATCTGTACATAAAGTTCAGTGCAATAGGATATGTACATAAAATGTCAGTGCACTAGGATCTGTATATACAGTTCAGTGCACTTGGATCTGTACATAAATTTCAGTGCGCTAGGATCTGTACATACAGTTCAGTGCACTAGGATCTGTGCATTAAGTTCAGTGCACTAGGATCTGTACGTACAGTTCAGTGCACTAGGATCTGTACATACAGTTCAGTGCACTAGGATCTGTACATAAAGTTCAGTGCACTAGGATCTGTACATACAGTTCAGTGCACTATGATCTGTACATACAGTTCAGTGCACTAGGATCTGTACATAAAGTTTAGTCCACTATGATATGTATTTACAGCACAGTGCACAAGGGTATCTACATAAAGTGCAGTGCACTAGCATCTGTACATACAATATAGTGCACTAGGACCAATACATACAGTACAGTGGACTAGGGTCTGCACATAAAATTACAGTGCTGTATGATCTGTAGATTCAGTGCAGTGCACTAGGATCGGTACATATTTCGTCGGCATGTTGTTCTCATGTTACATTGCAAGTTTTTGTGTTGTAACAAATGTATCATTTACTCTCAGACGCCCTCAGGTTTATCATTGAATCCCTCGGGGGTTTAAATTTCCATTGGTTTTAATTTGTCTGAGAGTAAATGACATTCCTTTGTAAAAAGCTGGTTTTCACCTGTGCAAGCATAAATAAAAATTTTAATTGAAACCCGGCGGGATTTTTCATTAAACACTGCATTGAAAAAATCTTTGAAATGTGTGCGGATTTTTTTCACAAAATTCACAAATTCCAATTTTTAATCAGTACAAGGTTCATCAGCAGCAGAAGCAGCCTGCGGAAAAGGAAGCTAGTTTCTAGAAAATGTTGACAAACCAATTGCAAGACATTTAAGATCGTCCAAGAGATATCTAAAATTCTCTATGAAGCTGGATCATGAGAAAATGAAAATCAAGAGCTGGAGGAATGGTTTTTACGGCGAGGAAAAATGTCTCCACTGAGGAAGTCAAACTAAAAGGCATAAGAAGCCAAAGTTTTGCGTACACCTTTTGTTTGCTGTTGACATATTCGATCTGGTTACAAAGTTATTAGATATTGTTCCTTACAAAAACATGCTTTTTTTTTGGTTTTAACTCTTATAACACACCCTTTTTTAAATATTAAATCAGGTTGCTTATAGATATGTGGATGACTAGCTTTTGTTTTCACTTTTTTGTGAAGGGCCTTCCAACGTTATATAGAACAGCCCTGTAGCTAAAAACAAATAATTCCCCCCCCCCACCCCACCCTTCAATTCGCCCTAGCCTAAAAAATAAATTGTTGTAGGTTTTTGAATTTTAATGGTGTAAACAATTGATATTCTTATATTTGTATAGTGGTTTTAAGAGAAAAAAAGCAGGACGGGAAAGTTTAATAATGTTGCCTAGAATGGGATCAATTTTTGACTGTAATGTTTGCGAGAGAACAGTTGTAAAGCCATTGGAAACCTGGTGGGATTCAATGGAAACTTTCTTATTTAAATCAAATGAAAAGATTTTAGAGTATAGCGGGATTCAATGAAAATTATTGCATACCAAAAAACCAGCTTTTCATAAAGAAATGAATTTTGTTGTCAGTATTTTAGTTAACTGCTTGATAAAACTGCAACCAAGATCTTGTACGTGAATTTTAACAATGTATACCAAAGCTGTAAAAATGTACAGTCATAATCAGAAAGACCCGGAATTTATTGAGAGTTCACTTTACAGTGACTTAACATAAATATCTGAGGCAATTTAAGAAGACCAAAAAAGGCAGACGGCATTTTGGAAATAGCAGGATTAGGGCTATTTGTGATTATCGTTTCATCAAACATATTTGTAAAATTAGATTGTGAAATCTTCTGATTAATTGTAAATTAAGTTCGGGTCTTTCTGATTAGGACTGTATACCACAGCTATAACAACGTATACCAAAGCTGTAACAATATAAATCAAAGGTGTAGCAATGTATACCAAAGCTGTAACGAGGTATACCAAAGCTGTAACAACGTATATCAAAGGTGTAACAACGTATATCAAAGGTGTAACAACATATATCAAAGGTGTAACAAAGTACATAAAAAGCATAACACTGTATATTAAAGCTGTAACAATGTATACAAAAGCTGTACAATGTTTACAATAACGTTAAAAAGTAAATGAAATCCGTCCAATCAGCGAATTAAAATGTTTCCAGTTACACCAAAACTTTTAAAAGTTAGCGTAACGTATATTACAAAAAGTATTACAGCTAGAGACAGCTTTAATTAAACTTTTAAAGTTTAAAACTGATTAAAAAAATGTACATCTTAACGTACTGTTTATTAAACTTGTTTTAACGTTAACAAACTATAAAACGTTCATGAAACTATTAAGAACCTTTCCTTAAGTTTTTGCATCTTGAAAGTTTTCTGCACCTGTAAATTGTATACTGTAAGCTTGAAAGGTTTCTGCACCTGTAAACTGTAAACTGTATACTGTAAACTGTAAACTGTAAACTGTAAACCGTAAACTGTAAGCTTGAAATATCGGGTTCTGAATGGCTAACACTTATTTCAAGTGCAGGATATTGGAAAAAAATTGGTTTTCTTTTTAGATTTAAAGCATTTAATTCTTCACAAACATGAGGTTCTTTCTTTTAGTTTAAAATTGGAATAAATTTGGGTCAAAAAAATCAATTTTATTGAAAAGAAGTTCAATTACTATTTGATTGGTTGTTAAGTAGAGTTTCCTATTTTTTCCGGTTCAATTTAGTTCCGGTAAAGGCCATTATAAATTTGTGGAAATTAAGTGAAGGGTGGAACCTTGCTTGACTGAATAAAGAATACATCAATCTCTCAGATACTACATAGAGCTAAAGGTATGACATGCTGAAAAAAATTTACGGGACAATCATTCCGTATCTATTCCTTGGAATAATCGTCCCGTAAACTTTTTTTCAGCTATGTGGAGTACCTTGGGGGCAGATTATTAAACAATAATAAAATAAGAGATCGATGAATAGGCTTTAACCCTTTTCCCCATGACTCCATATATTTATAAAATGAATGTAGGACGGACAAAACAGTTAAAATAAACCCCTTCAAGTTTCAACATATAACATTTGTCAGGATTATACTCAGTTCCACGTGAAACATGTTGAATAATCCCTTTAATATTCCAGGATTGGCATGTTCTATCTGAACCTTGACCAATTTATTTCCTAGTTTCCTTTTATATCTCGGAGCTAATTCAGTCTTATGTCTTCTCCAACATCAAGGCTAGGTTTCTCTTGAGTTTAAAGTAATTTTAAATCTCTTTTGTCATCTTAAAACTGGTCTTTGCTCCCTCTTAATTTTCTTTCGAACTTTAGTCATCCTTAATCATGCTAATTGCTTCTCTAGACATCCTAAACCTATCTCTAGTCACCGCAAACCTAGCTCTAGACATTTTGAGCCTATATCTAGATATTAGTAGACATTGTGTACCTATCTTTCACAAAACCTATTTGAAAACATACAAAACCTATCTGTGGTAATCTAAACCTATCTCTAGATATCAGATATCCTGTACTTTACCTATCTTTAGTCACCCAAAACCGTTCTCTAGTCATCCTACCCCTATCTCTAGACATTCTAAACCTATCTCTAGACATCATAAACCTATTTCTAGACATCATTAACCTATATCTAGAAATTTTAATCCTATCTATAGACATCCTAAACCTATCTCTTGTCATCCTAAACCTGTTTTTAGATAGTAGACATATTTTACTTATCTTTTGTTACCCCAAACTATATCTAGACATTTTAAAACTTATTTATAGACATCCTAAACCTATCTCTAGACATCCAAACCCTTCTCTAGACATTCTAAACGTACGGCTAGTCACCCTAAACCTATCCCTAGACATGTATGCCTATTGCTAGACATTTATACTTATTTCTAGACATTTATACCTATTTCTAGATATTCTAGAACTATTTCATGGATGAGTATTGACTATTAAGTATCTAGGGAAACCACTTCCCTGTCCTCTAATAAATCTTCTAGTTCTGAAAATAGATAATATGTTCCAGGATAAGCCTGCAAGTATGAGATGGTGTCAGAATATAATTCTACCTCAATCCAATCCTTCCCTTACCCTGGGTCTTATACTTCTAGCTTTGTACATATCTGTTCAATTCTAGTTTAGAATTGGTCTTGAAAGAAATCCGTTCTCCTAAAGAATTCTAATTCGATAAAAAAATCCATTTTAAAAAGATTAGCGATTTTGGAACTAACCAACAAATCCTAATTTATATTTGTGATTGCAAAGATATTCTACAATATTTTACATTTGTGGTTTTTGAACTAATCAATTAAAGACTGTTGTTTTCATGATTGATTTGAACATCCCGGTTCAGAATGTTTTATAAATGTGGTTTTTAAACTAATCAATTTTATTTTAAACTTTTTTTTAAAATATGGGGTAAAACTCAGAATGATGTAAGATACATGAACAAATCATTCTTGTCAATAAAAAAACATGCATTATGGTATCTTAAATCTTTATTTAGTTAAAGGGAGCGTTCACAAAAAATCAAATCGGGTGTATGAATGATCAAATTGTAAATTTTATTTCTATCCGATGATTCTGACACGAACCTATACCTCATTAAAAGTTAGATAAGTGTCAGCAAGGTCCCGTAGAGAAGCTGGTTGTCTGGAGCATTATATGGTGCCCAAAGAAATAATTATATCATTTTTTACAGAATCATTGAAAATTGCTTAATCATGGTTTCTAAAAATATTATAAATTTTCCTAAGGAAAAAAAAACAAGAATATATTTCTCATTATTTTTTCTCAGACGAAGATTTCAAGGCATGCACATCTTGAAATAGAGGGTCTAATGTCTTCAGTCTTTTTTCAGTTGTAAAATAATATACTTTAAGTATTTAAATACAATTATTTTACTTTGCACATAAGGAATATATTTAATATAGATAACTAATAAATTAATTATTGTTTAGGAGAAAGTCTGCCCTGCCTAAGTATGATCCACCGTACCTGAAACGTCCTATCATCCCTGGGAAGGGATACAGTCATCCTAACTCCCCTCACCCGTCTCAGCATATACCCCCCCTGGAGCAGACAAACCTGGATGAAAATAAGAAAATGATGAGCTTTACTCCAACCCCAACCTACAGATCAGTCGAGTAAGTCGGTTTCATAATAAATATCTTTATCCTCTCCTCCCCAAACTTCTAAATGTTTCGTTCTCTTCAATATTTCTTTTCATTATTATTCTTGTAAATCTTTCTGATTGCACACTGTACAAAATAACAAGTCCTATCCGAATCCTAAACTTTTTTCATTCTTTATTCTAATTTCTCATCATTGTTTAGTTCCTTTCACTAGCTCATGTTTCTTTTGCGTAAACTCAATCATAATCGTTCTATTGCTTTTGAACTTTCACTTTGTACTATTTCTTAAAAGGAGTGACCGGCAATGTATGGTAGTTGAAGTGAGAATGTAGTATTGTGGAGAATTTTGTTAGGATTTATTTGAGACATTTAAAACGTTTTAATGCTGTATAATTACTGAGTTTGAGCGCAAAGTCGACGTTAATAATCATCCATTAGGATGGTTACGTTTTGAGAATCGATTTTTTTAATTACTAAAAAACGATGATAAAAATTCCTTCAAATGTCGTCTTTTCAATAAAAATTCCAGAAAATCTACAGAAATTGTTTGTGAACAATGAAAGATTACAAAAAACTAAAAGACTGAATAAGATTACTTATTTGATGATGAGAGTTAATTTTTATTTTCTGAAAAGCTGTTCCAAAACAACTAATTAATTTACTGTAGAATTTTTGTTACATTTTTTTCGTCGGTCTTTAATAATAAAAAAAATCGATTCTCAAAACGTAACCACCCAAATGGATGATTTTGAAAGTCTATTTTGCACTCAAACTCAGTAATTATACATCATTAAAACGTTTATATGTCTCAAATGAATCCTAAAAATTTTCAAATTCTTATATCTCTACAACTTGATGTCGTATGACCTTTGATATTTCAATCTGTGCATTCTGCTAAATCAAATATTTCAAAGGTTTACGCCATGAGGGTGCAAAGATATAGGTATTAGAAGATTTGAGTTTTGGGTGAGAAATAAGTTCCTCTACTTCTCTTTTTGCATTCATATCCTACTTCTTGTTTTTAATCAGTTTCTTCTAGTCCTTCTAGTCATACTATTCACTTCTTCCTATCCCTTGCTCCATTCAACATTTTGAGTGAGTGAAAGAGTGACTTGAGAAAGATATAAAGTGAGTGAGTGAGAAGAGTGAATGGAAAAAGTAACTATTATGCATCCATTGATGTACATAGTGTTATTGTTATATATTATTGTATATACACTACAGTATACGCACTTAAACTTGTTTCTCATGGATTCATTCTAACCTGGGGATATTCAATCTATAGAGCTTTATAGAACAGAATAGAACAGGAAAGAACAGGATAGAACAGGATAGAACAGGATAGAACAGGATAGAACAGAATAGAACAGAATAGAACAGAATAGAACAGAATATAACAGGATAGAACAGAATAGAACAGAATAGAACAGGATAGAACAGAATATAACAGGATAGAACAGAATATAACAGGATAGAACAGAATAGAACAGAATAGAACAGGATAGAACAGGATAGAACAGGATAGAACAGAATAGAACAGGATAGAACAGAATAGAACAGGATAGAACAGAATAGAACAGAATATAACAGGATAGAACAGGATAGAACAGAATATAACAGGATAGAACAGAATAGAACAGGATAGAACAGGATAGAACAGAATAGAACAGGATATAACCAGGATAGAACAGGATAGAATAGAATAGAACAGAATAGAACAGAATAGAACAGAATAGAACAGAATAGAACAGAATAGAACAGAATAGAACTGAATAGAACAGGATAGAACAGAATAGAAAAGTATATAACAGAATAGTACAGAATAGAACAGAATAGAACAGAATAGAACAGAATAGAACAGAATAGAACAGAATAGAACAGAATAGAACAGAATAGAACAGGATAGAACAGAATAGAACAGAATAGAACTGAATAGAACAGAATAGAACAGGATAGAACAGGTTATAACCAGGATATATTTCTTGATAAAATTAGATAGAATTAGATAGAACTAGATAGAACTAGTTAAAACTAGAAAGCAGGATATAACCATGAGAGAACCGGATATAACAGGATATTACGAGGATAGTACAGGATATATCCAGGATAGAACAGGATATTACGAGGATAAAACAGGATATATCCAGGAAACAACCAGGATAGAACAGGATAGAACAGGATATTACGAGGATAAAACAGGGTATATCCAGGAAACAACCAGGATAGAACCGGATATAACAGGATATTACGAGGATAGAACAGGATATATCCAGGAAACAACCATGGATAGAACAGCTTTTAGTAAAATAGAACAAAACATGATTTACCAGCAGAAAAAACAACATAATAAAATATTGAGATTTATTAAACATTACATAAAAAGTCAACAACCCAAATGTAAATTATTAAGGGGATTGTGTGAGACTCTATGAACATAAGTCACCTTGTACATATTTTGTTACTTATTAGATTAATAATTTAATGTAAACAGACTTTTAGAAACCTCTTTAAAGTCTTATGATTTACGAGACTCGCTATATAATATTTTCTATTTTATTTTTTTTCTACGTAAACATTTGCGGAGCAGAGTTTTTTGCATTTGAAGAGTCGGGTCTTCTGTATATTTTTCTTCTTTCACTTCGGCAATATTCGCCATATTGCATTTTTATTCTTCATCCGACCAGAAAAATATGAATAACACGTCTAATGGAAAATATTTGAAATATTTTATATTCAAAATTTCTCTCAAAATATTATATTTGATGATACAAGACAAAAATAAATTACAAGACGCGAATAGGGGCGGGGGTTATTGGCGGAAGAGGGAGAAAGGGTAAGAACAGGAAGTGTGGGAAAGGGAGAGAAAGATTGAAAGTAAAGAGGAACAGGAAGTGTAGAAAATGGGAGGAAGATGGATGGTAAAGAGGAACAGGAAGTATGGGAAAGGGAGAGAAAGATGGATTGTAAAGAGGAACAGGAAGTGTGGGAAAGGAACAGGAAGTGTGGGAAAGGGAGAGAAAGATTGAAAGTAAAGAGGAACAGGAAGTGTGGGAAATGGGAGGAAGATGGATGGTAAAGAGGAACAGGAAGTGTGGGAAATGGGAGAAAGATGAATGGTAAAGAGGAACAGGAAGTGTGGGAAAGGGAGATGAAGATGGAAGGTAAAGAGGAACAGGAAGTGTGAAAAAAGGGAGAGAAAGATTGAAGGTAAAGAGGAACAGGAAGTGTGGGAAATGGGAGGAAGATGAAAGGTAAAGAGGAACAGAGTTTATGAGAAAAGGGGGGGGGAGATGGGAGAAAGTGGGATAAAAATGGATTGTAAAGAGGAACAGGAAGTGTGGGAAAAGAGGAGAAAGATGGATGGTAAAGAGGAACTGGAAGTGTGGGAAAGGAGGAGGAAAGTGAAGTAAAGAGGAACAGGAAGTGTGGGAAAAGAGGAGGAAGATGGTGGTAAAGAGGAACAGGAAGTGTGAGAAAGTGGGATAAAAATGGATTGTAAAGAGGAACAGGAAGTGTGGGAAAAGAGGAGAAAGATGGATGGTAAAGAGGAACTGGAAGTGTGGGAAAGGAGGAGGAAAGTGAAGTAAAGAGGAACAGGAAGTGTGGGAAAAGAGGAGGAAGATGGTGGTAAAGAGGAACAGGAAGTGTGAGAAAGTGGGATAAAAATGGATTGTAAAGAGGAACAGGAAGTGTGGGAAAAGAGGAGAAAGATGGATGGTAAAGAGGAACTGGAAGTGTGGGAAAGGAGGAGGAAAGTGAAGTGAAGAGGAACAGGAAGTGTGGGAAAAGAGTAGGAAGATGGTGGTAAAGAGGAACAGGAAGTGTGGGAAAGGAGGAGGAAGGTGAAGTAAAGAGGAACAGGAAGTGTGGGAATAGAGGAGGAAGGTGGATGGTGAAGAGGAACAGGAAGTGTAGGAAAAGAGGAGGAAGATGGTGGTGAAGAGGAACAGGAAATAAGAAAATGGGAAGGAAGATGGAATGTAAACACAAATTTTGATGAAATTGAATATGGTAACAACCTATCCTAATATGACGTCACCCATCAAAATTGTTGTATTGTGTATAATTATCAAAACAAAATAATTATAATAGTTGTCCTTAATCACATCATCAACGTCAGAAGTAAAACAAAAACAGAGTGAAATTCTGAAAAAACTTACAAAAAAGTTAAAACTCGAAACTATGTAGAATTGAAGATATATATATATAATAAAACAAGACATCCATATATATGTTGCGTATAGCCTGTCAAACGGCTGGAACGATATTGGGCTGAATTTTTTTGTGGACACTCATAGGTGGCCGGGGGTATTTTAGGCAGAAAAAAATCGAAAAAATGATTTTTCAAAAAAAATTGCAGAAATTTGTTCAACAAAAATTTCCACGGGCAACGTCGGGCCCCTCAGCTTGTATGTAAGTAAAAATATAGAGATATATGTAGGAATATATATATGCTCACTTTTAGTGAACACTGGGAATAGTTTTCCTCTGTGAGAAAATTGCGGAGTCATCTTTATAACTTTAGAAAAGTTGATGTTGATGGTTCTTTATTTTCTTCAATCTTTAATCAACATTTTCTGCTTTATAATCTAGTTCTACATTATATACATATATTTTGATATATATCTTAATTCTAATCTGTTTATTCAATTATACTTTAATATATTCTAAATCTTATTTTTTTTAAATTTAATTCTACTTTTTTATTCTATGCCATATGTTTTTCTTTACGATCTTTTTATTCTTTACGATCTTTTTATTCTGTACCATCTTTTTATTCTGTACCATCTTTTTATTCTGTACCATCTTTTTATTCTGTACCATCTTTTTATTCTATACCATCTTTTTATTCTGTACCATCTTTTAATTCTGTACCATTTATCTCTATTACAAGGTATTCTAAACCTTGTTCTGTTCATTTATCTCCATTACAAGCTATTCTAAACCTTGTTCTGCTCATTTATCTCCATTACAAGCTATTCTAAACCTTGTTCTGTTCATTTATCTCCATTACAAGCTATTCTAAACCTTGTTCTGTTCATTTATCTCCATTACAAGCTATTCAAAACCTTGTTCTGTTCATTTATGTCTATTACAAGGTATCCTAAACCATTTTCTGCTCATTTATCTCCATTACAAGATATTCTAAACCTTGTTCTGTTCATTTATCTCCATTACACGGTTTTTTAAACCTTGTTCTGTTGATATATCTCCATTACAAGGTTTTCTAAACCTTGTTCTGTTGATATATCTCCATTACAAGGTTTTTTAAACCTTGTTCTGTTGATATATCTCCATTACAAGGTTTTTTAAACCTTGTTCTGTTGATATATCTCCATTACAAGGTTTTCTAAACCTTGTTCTGTTGATATATCTCCATTACAAGGTTTTCTAAACCTTGTTCTGTTGATATATCTCCATTACAAGGTTTTCTAAACCTTGTTCTGTTGATATCTCCATTACTAGCTATTCTAAACCTTATTCTGTTTATTCAACTCCATTTATACAAGCCATTCATAACCTTGCACTGTGTATTCAACTCCATTTATAAAACCCATTCGAATCCTAGTTTTTATTCTTTAATTTCATTAAAAGCTATTCTAAACCTTTTTATATCTATAATTAACCCGCTGACTTAAATCATTTTAGTTTTTTATTTAGCTGTTTGCACGCTTTTCTAAACCCTTATTTGTGTGATTAAAACTTATAAGTAAAATAGACATTATCATGTTTAACACTGTTCAAGCTATTTTACATGGTATCCTAGCTAACTCTGTCAAATCAAGTTTAATATATACTATTCTAAACCTTTTTCTGTTTAATTAATTTCATTACAGCCCAATTCTGATACTTTCAGTATTTTTAAAATCATTTCACCTATTACGAAAGATTATGATTTCGTATCTTCCATTTTCGTTAAGTAAAAAGATTATTGACGCAATGTACCCTAAATTTTAAGTGTTTCATGTCAGATTCACAACGATACCTCAATAAAACTTTATCTGAGTAATAATTAGAAAGATATAGTGGTTTTTCTAATAGTAATGATATAAATGAACTGAGTTTTAGTCCCAAACTCAAATTGTCTAATCCCTATATCTTTACAAGCTGATGACATAAACCTTTGTTATTTCAAACTTAGATTATTAGGTCTAACAGAATTCATAGTTTGAAATATCAGACATTGGGTAGCAAAGATAAAGAGATTAGAAAAGTAGAGTTTGTGACAAAAACTCAGTTCCTTTGGTAAATATCCTTCATTGTAACCCGCAATTGAAAATTATCAACTTTTGTAGAAAAAAAAACATTTTTGCATGAAAGAAATGTATTAATGTAGCGCTGTGAATCAGACCAGCATGATCTCTTTGAATAGAGGGTACTTTAAATCACGTGGATTGCCCTTTAAGTAATTTACAGATTTGTTTGGGTGAATATTACCCTGAATAAATGTTTTTATAAATCCTCTTATTTCTAGATGTTTGGCCTGTGTTAAAGAAAGGTAGGCCAAGTATTACCAAGCCAAAACGAATGACAGGGTTACACACATATATATATATATATATATATATATGATGTATACTTTGTATTTTTGTTTTCTACAAAGACCAACCTCCAAGATTCCAGTATTTCTTTATTTTTACAATTTTTTCATTTGTTCACATTTGAATTCATAATCCGTCACCTGGATAGTTTATTACAAAACTGAGAGGATATGTTTATTCAAAATATTTAAATAAAGTGTGAACTTTTAATTCAATTTCGGGAAAGGAGAGAATTTTTTAAACCTATTCACCTTTGGTACTGGTTGATTTATAGCTCGTTGAACACACTAGTCTTCTCGCAGTTTCATTTTATCGTCAAATTCTATAGAATTCTCCAAGACGAAATTATAATTTTTGTCAAGTTTTCTAAAGCTTTATCTTCAATTTCCACCATCAGCCCTCCAATCTCTATCAATTTTTTCCTCTCGCCCATTCCTTTTATCCTCGACAATTTTCACTTCTTCTATTTCGCCAATCTCCTCAGATTCTTCCGAAAGTTAACCCATTTTTAAAAATAATTAAATTTTTTAACCTGAACTGGAGTTTGTTGGAAAAAATAACCTCTTACAAAGGGACTGTACTGGCTATCCATTTATTTCGTGGCATGTCCGATTCAGAACGGTACTCTTTAAACCTTTCGATCTGGGTATCAATAAGGGAGATCGTCGTTTCTGAAAAGTGTCTAATTCAGACGATTCTCTTATTGTAAATAGAGAAATCCCATTTGAAAATAAAATCTTTTTTCAGCTAGAAAAATAAGGATATATCACCCTTGATCAGACAAAGGTTTAAATGTTAACGTTGTAAATCGGACATTGCCACTTGATGGTCAATTGAATATCTTTCCCTTAAGGAAGGATATTAGATATCAACATGAAGATATTGGATATTATATTCAGAAACATCTTCGCGATCATAAATTCATCTTATATATTCATCTCTCCACCCCCCCCCTACCAGACCTACCCCCTCCCCCCCCCATACATAATTAATAATGTCTTCATCCTGTAAAAACATCTTTCTTTCTGGATAATATATGTAAAGATACTCTCTACTCCTTTTAGGGGTTTTCTACTAAAATAACATCATTTCTTTTCTCCCCTAGGGGCGTACACAGGTGTATTGTCTTCTTTAATAAACTTTAATAAGTTTGCCTGGTTTAATAATTTTATTTGAATAATTTTCGTTTCACGTTGCTCAAAAGCCTGCCGTGCAGTTTTAAAAAAAGTGTTAAAATTGTCATATAAACTTGTGGCATGGTTTTTCAGAATTGATCATACAAATGCAGGCTATGCAAATTGGTAACAAAAATCTTCAGTGGAAACTTAAAACACTGTTTTACAATCCTTTTTGGTACGGTGTACCTGAAAGTTTCTGATCAGAGCTTTGTGTTTTACATAGTTTATGTCATAACATTTTAATTTCGAATCTCTAGTTGTGATTGTTGCTAAAAAAAGATGAGATATATGAAATGTATATTTACCATATTCTTAAATTCTAATATGTTTCTTTTTTAACTTCTGAGGAGCAGGATTCTTCCCTAACTTTGAAGGGAGAAAAAGAATAAAATTTAAATTTTCTGAGTTTTAATAGAAATTCCCCGCTTCAAGTACAGGGATTATAAGTTTTTCTTCTCCAACCCAAGTTTAGTTTGGTTCATCACTTTACTGAATACAAGACCAGTCCTAATCCTCCTTTTCTCACGCCCTAGCCCCTAACCTATCCTGCATCACTTTACTGAATACAGGACCAGTCCTAATCCTTCTTTTTCTTACGGCCTAGCCCCTAACCTATCCTGCCTCTAATCAAATTCGCGTATTCCTTAAGTCAGGTGTTTTCATAGTTTGAAATTTAAATATTATAAAATATATGTTTATACAATTCTTCTAAATCCAACACTATGAGCTCCAGCTAAAAACAAAACTCTTTCCGTCAAATTTTCGGTTTATTAAACCATCCTTAGGGCATTTATATGTTTATAAGTATGTATCTACTCTTGAATGTACCAGTTTAAGAAAAAAGCAATGTTTCTCAGAGATAATCCGTTAAGTGGAAAAATCTAAGTTTAGTATCGGAATTTTTTATCTCAGGGGATTAGATTGGTACAGGAGAGGATTAGAGTTATCTGGAAACGTTAAATCTTTGCACAATCACCTATTTTCTCCTTGGTTTCACGCATGTGTTCTCACTGTCCTTACCTTAGATATCTGAACATACGTAGATTGGACAAGTACAGAATAGGCGTCATGGCATTTCATGTTATTGTGTACATATGGAAACAATTTGTACTGCAAAGATAAACAAACGCTACAACGGACGAGAAGTATGAGTATGACGTTGTGAAGAAACAACCTCAAAAACGCTGGTTATCTTTGCAGTACGAATTGCGTACATATGTACACAATAACATGACATCCATGACGCATATTCTGTACTTGTCCAATCTGCGTAGGTTCAAATACCTATTAGTCCTCACTTCTTGTACTGTTGGGTTGGTCAGAACCCATTTTTGCAATTTTCTTTACACTATTGATGCATGCTCTTCAGGTTTGGTTGGAGGAAAACAAGAACTATATTCCAAATTTTAGGTTTATAATTTTAGGGAGCATGGTATGAAGAGGATGGGGAATCATGGTGGGTTGGGATCAAACCAACAGCTTCCAGTATCCGTAGGATCAAACCAAATCCTAGGCTCAGGACAAAACCTCATGTCTGACTCTTCATATCAATCAGGTGAGAGTTAAGTAATCCTTCATCCATCATCCATCCTTTAATTTAATATTTCAAAAGTTTCGTAATTTGATTTAAACTCCAACAGGATTGAATAGAGAGATTTTGCCAAGTATTCTCTTCACTAAACTTTATATAAATAGGTTGTCAGAACTAATAAAATTATGAAGTTAAACCTGGATAGCATCCAACCTTTACTTTCAGAGAAAGGAATTCTGAAGAAACCTGGTCCATACTGCTCCATGGATAAAGATAGATGGGAGGATAGAATGAGCACATCATCACAGAATAATCTCATAAATCTACCTGGACATTCATCCTTGGATAGGCAGGAGCTATCCAATCATCCATCACTATCCCGACAGGAGCTCGCAACTCACGTATCCTCCCTCTCCCGATCAGACCTTGCCGGACACTCCTCCATGTCTAGACAAGATCTGACAGGTCATTCAACATTATCGAGATCCCGCCAAGACCTTGTGGGTCACTCCAGTCTTTCCCGCCAAGATCTAGCAGGTCATTCCAGTTTATCCCGCCAAGATTTGGCCGGTCACGCCAGTCTCTCTCGCCAGGAAATGGCAAGCCACGCTTCCTTGGATCGGCAAGATTCTCGCCGTGACATGTCTGAGGTTGAAAGAACCTTAAAATCTCTGAACGGATATCACGAAGATATTCTTGAGGTGAGCATTTTTAGTTTTTTTTTACAATTCTAATTTTTTTTACAAAATAACTAAATTTCAGGCGCTGCGAGACGCGGCATCCTCGCGAGCTGGAGGAAGCCGACCTTACGGAACCAGTTTGGACGAAACCCCGGTGCTAACAGAAGAATTGAAGAGACATCTCTCTGAATCTAGATCAGATGGAGGGTATAGAGGAGGACAGGAGAGGAAGCATGAACCTGCCCCACCACCTGAGCAGGATGAGATGGGACCAATCCGGATACGAAATCTAGAAGATCTTATTAGGTACAGTGGGACCCATAAACTGTGGACCTAATCTTACGTACTGAGTTGATCATAAAGCTACTGTTAATTCATCTTGCTTTATAACAACATGAAATACATAAAGGATTTCTTCCTATTCCACTTTCATAGGTCCCATTGTAGATAACCTTTTTTGGGTCCCACTGTAGATATCCTTTTATGGGTCCCACTGTGGATATCCTTTTATGGGTTCCACTGTAGATATCCTTTTATGGGTCCCACTGTAGATATCCTTTTATGGGTCCCACTGTAGATATCCTTTTATGGGTCCCACTGTAGATATCTTTTTTGAAAAACTTTTTCATACATTAAGATAGCTTTCCACTCCCCGTTATCTTCCTTTGTCTTTTTAAAAACAATTTTAAATGTTCATTTTTTTAGGCAATTAGAACAAAGTTCCAACCGGCATTTTAGCCCCGTTGGTTCGGAAGATACGAGAATATCTGAGGCTGACAACGATAGACATTTCAGGTAGGGTTGAATATTGTAAATCTGGGAAAACATTCCAATCCGGAATATTTCCATTTTGAATTCTTGCATTCGATCCCGTTCCCATATTTCTATTCTTCACATTCCTATATTACATATTTACATTCTGCAGTACTTTGTTCCATAATATTCTCATTTACATTTTATCATAGTTTTTTTTAATATTTTTATATAATTATATCCTGACAATTCCCATTCCCATAATTTGTAAGATAAATATTTCCCATTTTCTTAACATTGCTTCTAGCTTTATAATTCGATATCCCAAACCAACTTTCTCATCTTCTTATTACCTCCACCAAATTCATATTTTTATCATTAGCATTCCCATTCCCATATTTCTTTCTTAAATATTTATATTTTCCCCGTTTTATCCGTTTCATTTAAGTCTCCATATTCCTGTCCAATATTATAGTTATGAAGAACAGCATATATTATACTTCTATTAATAATAGTTACTCAACAGTCGAGGTTTTAAACTAAGACGTCATAAACTTAACTCTTGAAAGTTTGGTCAATCCATTTTGTTTGACGAGGTTTACATTTGTTATAAAAACGCTCTGGGGAGTGGGGCGACATTTTTAAATAGATAAATCTGTTTTCCTTTGATTTTCCGGGAAAGAATAAAATCATGAGGGATGGACGGGGGGGGGGGGGTGAAGCAGGAAAATTTATAGCCATTTTATAGCCACGCAGATTTTAGATTACCCTATAGATACCAATAAATCACTGATTTCGAGATTACAGATTGCACTGTAGTTTGACAGGTTTTATAAAGAAAACTAGTTTTGTAATAACAAACACTTAAAGATGGAGATATAAAAAGATATATTTTATCTCCACACCTTCAAGATTCCGAATATGAAAAATGTTGAAAATTTGTCGGATGACAGTTTTTTTCTCCGAGTTTGATGAATAGTAGGAGATATGTAAACCTAGAGAAGATTAATTCTCTTCTCCACGAGTTCTTTTCAGTCCAAGTCCACTAGTCTCCACAATACAACTGGACTCATCTTTACAATTCTAAGATTCTTCATATTTCAACTTCACTCTTGTATATGGATTTCTTTTCAGTTCAACTCCACTCTTCTCTATAAAGTTCTTTTCAGATTCTACTCCACTCTTCTTTATAGAGTTTTTTTCAGTTCAACTTCACTCTTCTCTATAGAGTTATTTCAGTTTAACTCCACTCTTCTTTATAGAGTTCTTTTCAGTTCAACTCCACTCTTCTTTAGAGTTATCTTCAGTTTAACTCCACTCTTCTCTATAGAGTTCTTTCATTTGAACTCCACTCTTCTCTATAGAGTTCTTTTCAGTTCAATCCATTTTTCTATAGAGCTATTTTCAGTTCAACTCCACTCTTCTCTAACGAGTTCTTTTCAGTTCAACTCCACTCTTCTCTATAGAGTTTTTTTTTCAGTTCAACTCCACTCTTCTCGTTAGAGTTCTTTCAGTTCAACTCCACTCTTCTCAATAGCGTTCTTTTCAGTTCAACTCCATTCTTCTATATACAGTTATTTTCAGTTCAACTCCACTCTTCTCTATAGAGTTCTTTCAGTTCAACTCCACTCTTCTCTATAGAGTTATTTTCAGTTCAACTCCACTCTTCTCTATAGAGTTCTTTTCAGTTCAACTCGACTCTTCTCTATAGAGTTATTTTCAGTTCAACTCCACTCTTCTCTATAGAGTTCTTTTCAGTTCAACTCGACTCTTCTCTATAGAGTTATTTTCAGTTCAACTCCACTCTTCTCTATAGAGTTCTTTTTCTGTTCCACTCTACTTTTTTTAAGAATAAAAAAATCTTGAAAAAAAAAATTTCGATAATTATTTTTTGTAATTTTTAATGTAAAGTTAAAACCCAGTTTATCTAATGTTTAATAAGTATAAATTAAAAAATGAATTTTCTGTCTTGAGTTCTGAATTATTTGTTAATTCTTGAGAATGTACAAATGTCAAATTTATTCATATTCTCCTTTTCGACGTCACTTAATCTAAAAAAAGATTTCTATGAAAAATATATAAAATGTGGTTAGCGTTGATAAACCAGGACTAATTGAAAATTGATTGATCACGAAATTATAAATAAAAAAATGTTATACAGAAATATGTTTATTAATGTCGAAGTAATTAATTAATGGAATGAATAAGTTTAATGTGATCTAAAATTGAAAACTAAGTTTATATTAATTTTAGAAAAAATCAAGGACAAATTAAGAAGAGCTTGTATATGCTATAGAAATAAGAAATATCTTGTCCTTTGTAAGGCAAGAAATACTAACAAAGAAAAGGGAGCAAAAAGGATGAAAATTATTTATTGAATCTAAAAGTTCAAAATAAAATACTATAAAAGCAATACAAAAGAGTTCCCGAAAAAACAGGAACATTAATAACCATTTAAATATTTGGCTAATTTCTTCGTTTTTACATCTGTTCATGTGACCAAAGCTTGGAACTTTAGAATTGGATACCTTTTATCCCGATTGCCTAATCTGAATATCCAATGTGAACACTTCTAATTTTCCATGCTTCATCCGCTTCTTTTCTCTCTTTTTCTCTTCCTGCCAGTTTCCGACCAATGAGAGTTCACTCATTAAATGGCGCGTAAAATTTCAAATATCCCGGCTTCTATGATTGGCTGTTCTGGTTTCTTCAAACTCCACTCAATTAGTTGAGTTATGTACATTTTAGTGAATATATATTTAAGATCAATTTAATCTTGAGATTAACAAAAAGAGATGATCGAGCATTGATTTCGATATTCACAATTCTAAAGTTTTCAGCTCAGAACTTTGAACTTTTGAATGACATGAATGAGTTAATCGTTGAACTCTTTCTTACATGCGGGGAAATTGAGCTATATCTTCTTAGAATAAAGTTAGGATTTGACTAATGAGAGATTAGTTAATCCTCTATATTTCATTTCGTCTATAACATAAATCTATATATGTTCTTTGCTTGTCTGTCTGTCAGTTGGTCCGAACTTTTTATTATTTATTATTTCATATTGTACACAGAGAAAATACTCACAGATAGATCCACAATAAAAATTTTAAATAAAAGCCTAGTATTACATAGAGACTTGATAAATCATTTATATGTTTGTTGGCAATTAAATACCCCCCCCCTCCCTTTCTTCTACTCCTCCCCTTACCTCTTTTACTTCATGACGTTTATAATTAGGTTCCAACTGTTTGATTAATGATAACATTTAACTCTATATACTCATGTAAAAACAAGTGGAAAGGGTTCACCTTACTTCTAAAAAGATTGGGATTCTCACCTCATTTCCAATTGGTCACAATCAAACTCTTCGTAATTTTAGGTTTTACACATTTTTCCATCAAACTAGGAAAATATTAACGGGAACCTTTAAAAAAATAAACATGATTGTTTTGTTGTTTAATTTAGAATTCTAAATTCTTTATTTTAAATGTGTTTTATGAATTCATGAACGTCAAATAGTAAAAAATGTCATGATAATTAATCATTTCTTGGTTTATTGGCAATTGTCCTAATTCTAGCTGTCCAAGGAACATTATTGTTTTTTTAGTAAAATTGTTTTGTCATGAACTAATTAGTTATTTATATGATTTTTGTTATTTTTGGACTTGTATTAAGATCCCCCAGTTTGTCATGTAATTAATCACTATTATTATTGAGCCTTCTTTTGTCATGATCCTTAAAAATTACCATGTAATTAATCATCTTTAATGTTGATCCTTCTTTTATCATGATCCTTAAGATTACCATTTAGTTTGTCATCTTTAATGTTTATCCTACTTCAATTACGATCCTTCAAATTATCATGTGATTAGTCATCTTTAATGTTGATCCTTGTTTTTTTCATGATCCTTTAAATTAACATGTAATTGATCATCTTTAATGTTTATCCTTCTTTAATGAATGATCCTTCAAATTAACATGTAATTGATAATTTTTAATGTTTATACTTCTTTTATCATGATCCTTTGAATTACCATGTAATTGATCATTTTTAGATTTTACTTTGTCAGTGTTTAAATATCTTTCTGGATATTGTTGCTGTATGCATATCAATTATAGGAAAGAACAATAATAAATACATTACACACATGCATATTTCAAAGAACAATAATAAATACATTACACACATGCATATTTCAAAGTTTGCAAAATTTTGATTCTAGCATGGTAAAGACAATTCTACACTTTTCGATTTAGAAATATTGAATCAATATCATATCTTTTATTAACAAATCATCCATTTTATGACTTGTTTTGTGGCCCCTATCTATCTTTAGAATAGCGAATGATCATATTCAATGTGTTTTTTTCCTTGCCTAATTATTTTTTTGAGTAATGAAGTTATCAATGAGATTTGGCTCACTCTGTATGTAAATATTTATGCTCTACACATATTGCAGTGTATATAAGTATATGTATATAAATATTGTTGTATATACGTATATATAAGTATATGTATATAAATATTGTTGTATATACGTATATATAAGTATATAAGTATATGTATATAAGTCTATCTACTAGGATTCCCCCTGTTCTCCTGATTGTTCAGATTAGGTTCAAATTAGAGGTTGAGAATGAAGATTAGTTTAGTTCTATCATTCTCTGTACATCCTCGGCATTCAGACAGGGAATCATCAATATATACACCTAATACAGGTTTACTTAATATATACACAGAATAGGTTCAGGTTTACTCAAAATATACATACAAAAGGTTCAAGTTTTCTCAATATATTCACACAATAGGTTTAGGTTTACTCAAAATATGCACACAATAGGTTCAGGTTTACCCAATACATACAAACAATAGGTTCAGGTTTACTCAATATATTCACACAATAGGTTCAAGCTTACTGAATATAATTACACAATAGGTTTAGGTTTAATCAATATATACACACAATAGGTTCAGGTTTACTCAATATATTCACACAATAGGTTCTTATTTTTCTCTCGCCCCTTCTCCTCAAAAAAGAATAAAAATTTTGAAATCTGAAAATCATATTTTTCAAATTTAATTTCCAGATTGAATGATGTTTTCCCCTCTTTTTAATGTTCAGGTTCTCGAGATTATCTTGTTTTTTGTTTACATCCGATCAATTCATAATACTCTCTCTCAGACAGTTCATTCATTCATAATTCATGCAATGATCCTTACTTCAAAAGGGGGGGGGGTGCATATCCACACTTTCTATGCTTATAATATTCAGATTTAATTCAAGGTTTATTGGTAGTCTTTAAAAGTTGTAAACTCAGGCTAAAAGGAGTAAAGGGTTAAATTTAAGTTCGAAAGATAGTTTTAAGTTACATAAAGCTCCGGTTTGGACAAGTTAATATCATCAATAAGAATGGTTTTGAAATAAAAATTGTTGGAGGAGAGTTCAGCTATAGAATTTAGAATAAAGGTTTAATTTTGACCAAAAAAACGTAAAAAGTTAAATCAGCTTTATGTTTGAATAAAGAAGTTAAAATTAGAGGCATATTTAGGGGCGGAGGGGCTATGGGGATCAGTGAAATCTTTAGTTTCCAGGGGATTTTAAGGCGCTGTTTTAAAATGGAGCAATTGATGGCACTTTAGGAAAAAGTGAAAAATAATGATGTACTGTAGAGGAAATGAAATCCCCGAAAGGGGATTATGAAATCTGCAAAATGAATCTTGGAATCAGAGAAGACCTACTTAACTTCCTCTCCTTTTATACACTAGTTATTTACCATGTATTTACAACTAGAAGCAATAAGTGCACTTCTAAAATTCTTGAGTACAGTAAATTAACACAGATCTTGATAACTATAGTGGATACAGGCACTACACTAATTCCACTGATAAATATAAATCTGATCATGGCAAAAAGATATAGGGATAGTTGTGTAAAACTGTAACTATGGGAAGGGATAGTTGTGTAAAACTGTAACTACGGGCAGGGATAGTTGTGTAAAACTGTAACTATGGGCAGGGATAGTTGTGTAAAACTGTAACTATGGGCAGGGATAGTTGTGTAAAACTGTAACTATGGACAGGGATAGTCGTGTAAAACTGTTACTATGGGCAGGGATAGTTGTGTAAAACTGTAACTATGGGCAGAGCTAGTTGTGTAAAACTGTAACTATGGTCAGGGTACAAATTACCTTATGTTATAGGAATTGGTTTTACCCCCGGGATCCTAGGCTTTACGAAGAGGGTTCTGATACCGACTCTATAGAGAGTATTTACAAGAAGTTGAGTGCCCCAAAAGTAAGAATTTTCATATTTGATATTAATTATTTTGTCAAATATTTTAGATTAGACCTGCCCTCCCTCCCCTCTCTGTTTGGGGTTTAAAAGAAATCCAATGTTACAAAATTTAATACGAAAATTACTGATAAAATGTATTGATATTGTATCAATTCAAAAGAAGGAAACGTTTAAGAACAAACAATAAATATTAAAATAAAAACTTAAATTTAGAAAAGGTATGGTTAAGGATGACTAGAAGGGAATAAAAACCCGATGAAGATATTTCAGACGAATAGTTAGAAAGGATTTTTGTAATTAATGTTCTATCCGCTGGCAAGCAAATAGGTCAGCGTTTTCTTTAAATTAAACTATTGTCTTTCATCTGGTAAATGTAGGATTATCTATTCTTCTGTCTCAAACCTGGACTTTACAAAGGATTTTCTCCAATCCCTTCAAACAAACAAATATCCTAAATTGGATCTTTGAAACAAATACTTTTTGTTTTATATAAGTTTTTATATTTTTCTACGTCAATGTTTCTGTTCCTTGTTATTTAACCCATGAACATTGGTAGTTATTTAAGGTTAGTTAAGTGTTGTTACGCCGCGCTGTAGTTAAGGGGGGGGGGGGTTAAAAAAAATGGGTACAATCCATGAGAAAACTAGGTTTAATGAAAAGAATTTACCCTCCCCTAGGATTAGGAGCTATAAATCCAAAAACTAATGACTGTTTTCTTACAATTATTTTTTTCCTTTGATATTAAAAAACTTAAATAAAATGTTAGGTATTTTGTTCGTGTGTATGCAATGTAAATTTACTTTTGAAAGATTAAAATTCCTGATTGCCTCCTTCCCGTCTTTATCTGATTGTATTTCTTTATCTGGAAGCATCGTCGATTTTTATTAAATCCCCATAATGGATCTTCTCTTAATGTGATGGGTTTTCACTAAATTTTCCGACTAGAATGTTTTCCTAATGGATTGAAAACTATTTCTGTGACATTATGAGATATTATTTCTGAGAATATCTCCCCCCCCCCCCTCCCTTCCCTACTCCTCTATAAAAACAGCGGATAGATATAAAAGCTTACTTACGTCTTTAATATATAATGTCTTTAATACTTTAGGTATAAATGTCAATTTTGTGAACCAAGTTCATAAATAAAAATTGATATCGGCTAAACAATCAAAGATTACATTCACTATTTTTTATTCTCCTGAATTCGGTGAAAACACAAACTCAAAGCAAATTAACCATTCTGATTTTTGTATGTAAGTGAAAAGTAATTGAGTAATTGAGCCACAAACTCAATTTTCTAATCCTCTATATCTTTGCAGCTTGATGGTGTAAACATAGTTTTGTGTTTGATTCAACATGATTCATAGTTTAAGATATGTGAGGTCTACGACATTAGGTTGCTAAGATATATGGATTTGAAAATCAGAGTTTATGACAAAGACTCAATTCTTTTAAAAGGAAATCAATACAAAAATTGGAAAATATGTCAAAAACCTAAAATGATACTTATCAGTTGAGTAATAAACTTCATTTTCAGCGGAGTGAATCACGCGCAGGGTCAAGGGGATCCTCAATACGGGGCACCTCAACCCGGCCGCTACCATCCCCTCACTTCCAGTAGTGGGGCGGGGGGCAGGAGCCCCGCCCTCTCACTAGTCTCAGGCAGCGGGGGGCGTGGCAGCAGGCGAGGTAGTAGGAGATCTCCACTCAATTCTCCTGGTACCCCTCTGTATCAAGACAACCTGGGTTTGAGTGAACCTGGAGTAAAACCAACTCAGGATAATAGTGACAGGTGAATAAATACTTACAATTTTCTACAGTGAAACCCTTAATAACGAGTTCATCGAAAGAATTCATCAAATGTCGTATTCTCCACTTTCTGATAATGGAATTTTGCAGATATTTTGTTTTTAAATTAAATGAAAATATGGAACTCTTTAAAAGTGTTCCCGCATATTCATCGCTATTTATTTATTTTCGCAAATACTGAAATTTACGTAAGATAGGATAAAACTCATTGAAAAATTGTCAAGACGACATTTGATAAATTCTTCCGATGTATTCGTTATGAAGGGTTTCACTGTACCTTTCGAAAATTTGAAAATCCATTATTATGAAATTTTAGATATTTTTTGGTAGAATGTAGGTTCATTTTTTTTTGAAGCTGAGTCGACTGTTTATAAAACTATAACACGTAGTTTAGTCTCTACTTAATTCAATACTGATCTTATAACAAAGCCAATACCAAGCTCTTGCCTCGAAATAGAAAAAGCTAAGATACTTAACCTTAAAAGTGTTTTTCATAATAAATCCATTAGTACAGTATACTACTAAATTATTTCTGAACGAGTATTTTCAATCATAAATCATGCCTGATTAATATTTTAGTGAAGACTATCTGCGCAATAAACTTCTTCGCTCGGCCTCTGAAGACGGATTGAATATTCCCAGCACTCCAGAGTTCTCATTCGATGGAAACCTGGAGAGTTCGGGTAACCAATACCGGAGACAGACAAGTAGGATGGTTTCTCCGACCAGTCCTGTCAGTGAGTCAGGATCATCCTACCATGGTTCCGCCAGGTTTACATTTTTAATATTTAATTGTAAAACAATAAACATTAATTCAAAATGGTTCTGCTTTCATAATTCACATAGTATTGATATTTTAGATTTATAGTACTAACAAAGCTGTGTGTTTTTTACATTGTCTTTCTTTTCAGATCGGAGCAAGATTCTTACACAACCCATAGTGAGCGCAGTTTTAGTAGGGACAAAGAGCAAAGAAAGTACTTTTCTAGCGGACAGAACAATCCTGACGTTGAAGAATTGATACGAGCTGGTTACTTCATGCCTGAATATAAGCATTGAATGCGCATCTGAACGTCATAATGCCGCGGTGATGAAATTCTCCTTCATCGTCTTTTTTTATGAATATTTAGGTACACACAAACAGTCTGAGATTAATGGGACGATCTCATAATAGAACTGATACTCAAGAGTGCTAAACAAATTTATCCATTCAGATTCTACAAAGAGTGACTGTAGACTTGAATTTTTGATAACTTGCTCATTTTTAATCTCAAATTAAGTTAGGCAAATATTGTGCTATAAAGAAGCACATAGCGCACTGATCTCATATACACTGTACAAATTTTTTTTTGTAATTTAACGTGTCTGTTTTAATACAATATGAACTAAATCCAATAATTTCATAGCTGTGCAGTGTGCATCTGGATTGCGCACTTTTATTAAATGTCCCTTCCCTTATCAAATAAAATTTCTGCTGTTAAAAAAATGTAAGAAGAGGCACAAATTTCAAGTCTCAAACTACTTTAAAAGCACATAAAGTGCCGCACATTACCATTCTGTAATGAAAATGGAATTGAACAAAATTTTTAATGAATTAATAATTCTATTAAGGTTTAAACTTTAATTTTAAGTTTAACTAAAGTTCTTAACCGTCTGTACTTACTTTTTTTCGTCGCATTGTGTTATGTCTAAACTTACGAAAGTTGCAAAGTTGTTTACTGCAAAGTGTACTGCATGATGAGTGTTCTTTATGTAGTATTTCTATGATGATTGATGTACACAGCATCTCCCAGTGTGCTAAATGTTGTGAACAAGTACAGTACATAGAAATTAATTAAATCTTTAATAGCTGTCAGTACAGCAAATATGATCTTTGTGAAATTATTCACCATTAGATTTATTTGTCAAGTTTTTAACTAGCTATGGACTCTTTAGAACACATGCACAATGAGTTCTAACCAACGCGTTGTACTTAATGATGTACTCATAAACACACAGTACACACAATACAGTTAAATTCTGTCATCATTCGGAATGAATGTCAGTTCTGTTTAAAATAAAGATCTCCTAGTTAATATTTAAAAATTGTCTTTTGGAAATTTAAAAGACGACATTTTATTTGGAACTGATTTGTTTTGACTGTACAAACCTTAAACTGCAAACTTAATGATGATACCACAGTATATGTTTAATCAATATCTGAAATGTGAAAAGCCAATTATTTATTTGAAATCTATGAAGTTATTGTTGTATGTTTTGTTTTTATTTATAAATAGAATGCTTGCGCGCTATAAAATCTCACAAATCTCGTTATTGTTCTTTTTTCTGATTCGTTTTTAATAATGGAATATTTTTATTCTTTTACTCTTGGTAAATCACCTTGATTTGATCCTTCTCCCCCAATAAAATTGAAGTTTCAATCCTTTTTTCAAGATTTAGTTCTAATATTTTTTTTCAATTTCAAGCATAAATTGGAACAGGAAACTAGCAACCAATTCCAATTTTCTTAACCCTTTATCTTTGATACCTTATGTCGTAGACCTTTTGTTAGATAAATATCGAAGGTTCACATCACCAAGTTGCAAAGATTAAGGGATTTCAAAATCAGAGTTTGTTGAGTCCTTTTCAATAACAATCCCCAAAATTTGATTATTTGGAAGACTGTCCAAACTTTTAGATTTTTGTGTTGAAAGAAAGCCCAAAATTATGAATCTTATTTCATTTGGAAATGTGTGATGAAAATTATAATTATGAAATTCTATTGTTTCTAATCAAATAATGTTTGTTGAATTTAGATGAATGTCATAGATTTTAATACAAGTAAAAGACGCAGTTGGTTTTATTTCAAATACACTCTGGCCGTAGTCTCCCATCAAGAGACACTGAGGGTAGTTTCCCATCCAGAGACGTTGGAGGTAGTGTCCCATCCATATATACTCTGCGGTAGTGTCCCATCCAGAAACACTGGCGGCAGTGTCTCGTCCAGAGACACTGAGGGTAGTTTCCCATCCAGAGACATTGGCGGCAGTATCCCATCCAGAGACACTGGCGGCAGCGTCCCATCCAGAAACACTGGCGATAGTGTCCCATACGCAAATACTGGCGGAAGTGTCCCATACAGAGGAACTGGCGATATGGTCCCATACAGGAACACTTGCGGCACTGTTCCATCCAGAAACACAGGCGGTAGGGTCCCATCCAGAGACACTGGAGGTATTATCCCATCCAGAAACATTGGCGGTAGTGTCCCATACAGAAACACTGGCGGAAGTGTCCCATAGCAGAGACACTGGCGGCAGTTTACATCCAGAGACACTGGCGATTGTATCCCATCCAGAAACGCCGGCAACAGTGTCCCATCCAGAGAAACTGGTGGAAGTGTCCCATCAAGTAACACTGGGGATAGTGTCCCATCCAGAGACACTGGCGGTAGTGTCCCATCCAGAAACACTGGCGATAGGTATCCCATCCAGAAACACTGGCGATAGGTATCCCATCCAGAGACACTGGCGGCAGCGTCCCATCCAAAGACTCTGGTGGTAGTGTCCCATACGCAAACACTGGCGGAAGTGTCCCATCAAGCGGAACCTGTTATATGGTTTAAAGGGTGCTGTGGGCTGTAGATCGCTGAATGTAAAATAAATGTTACAAATTTCGTTTAAAATCTCTTTGAATAACTGAAAAAGATAAATTTTTAAAGTTCAAAGCATGTTATTATTCTGACAGACATTCTAAAACTTCTTCTTTCTTCCTTGTAGTTTGAAATTTCAGGTTTAGTATTAAAGTTTAATTCTCTACTTCTGTTCCTTCTCCCCTCAACTTTTCTGACAGGAGATCTGTCAGGTTGAGCTCAACTCCTCGCATCCAGAGTATCCACCTAAATCCGTCCCAATATTCATTCTCTCTCTTTTTTTGTAAGTGGAGCAAACCCTTTCTCATCCATTCAGATCTGGTTTTTGTCATTGTCTTCATTCAAATTTACAAAAGTAACAAAAATTTACACGGGAGAAAGAAATTAATGGTTCCGCATCTATTCCACCAACCCAATATTGTTTAAAGCAACCCTCACCTGTAATTACATGTATATCCTTGTAACTTTTTTTTACCGACCAAGTTCTGTATCTAATCTCATTATATGATTCCATCCCCGTGCTCTAACAGCCTTTATCATGTATCTAACTCCGTTCTGTATCTAATCCTTATACTATCCTGTATCTCTCCCAGTTCAACCCCGTTCTGTGTCTACACCTGTTCTGTATGCTGTATTTATCCCCTCCCAAATAAGTTATTTATCCCAACCGAATCCTGTATTTATCCCAACCCTATCCTGTATCAATCCTAACACTATCCTGTATCTATCCCAACCCTATCCTATATCTATCCCAACCATATCCTGTATCTATCCAAACCCTATCCTGTATCTATCCCAACCCCATCCTGTATCAATCCTAACCCCATCCTGTATCTATCCCAACCCTATCCTATATCTATCCCAACCATATCCTGTATCTATCCCAACCCTATCCTGTATCTATCCCAACTATATCTTGTATCTATCCCAACCCCATCTTGTATCAATCCTAACCCCATCCTGTAACTATCCCAACCATATCATGTATCTATCCCAAACCTATCCTATATCTATCCCAACCCTATCCTGTATCTTTCCCAACCCTATCTTGTATGTATCCCAACCCTATCCTGTATCTATCCCCACCCCATCCTCTATCTATCCCAACCATATCCTGTATCTATCCCAACCCTATCCTGTATCTATCCCAACCCTATCCTGTATCTATCCCAACCCTATCCTGTATCTATCCCAACCCTATCCTGTATGTATCCCAACCCTATCCTGGACCTATCCTAATCCTATTCTGTATCTATCCCAACTCTATCCTGTATCTTTCCCAACCCTATCATGTATCTATTCCTACCCTTTCCTTTATCTATCCCAACCCTATCATGTGTCTATTCAACTCCTATCCTGTATCTATTCCAACCTTTTCCTGTATCTACCTGTTCTAACAACCCTGTATCCATTCCCATCCTATTCCATATCTATTCCACCTCTGTCCTGTATCTATTCCACCTCTATTCATTTCTGTCCCACCTCTATCCTGTATCTGTTCCACCTCTATCCTGTATCTGTCCCACCTCTATCCTGTATCTGTTCCACCTCTATAGGCTCTATCTAGTATCTATTCCACCTCTATCCTGTATCTATTCCATCTTTATCCTCAAACCTGTATCTATTCCACCTCTCTCCTGTATCTATTCCACCTCTATCCTGTATCTCAACCCTTTAAATATTTCAAACCCTATTTTGAAAGTATTTTCACCCGACCCTATCCTATGCAATTCACACCCAACCTTATCCTTAATTGATTCCCACCCAATCCCTTTCTATTCGTATTTTCATTCTCACCCAACTCTATCCTAAATCTATCACGACTCTAATTTTTATTTCAATCTCTACCCAATTATATTTTTATACCCCACTGTCCTCTGTTTAAATCTCTTTTTCCGATTCTATAATATTCATATATTTTCACAAATAATTTAAAAGCGGTGATTATTTCTACCATCTGTACGTAATCTATTATCTACCTAACAATATAAACAATTAAATTATAAACTTTAAACAAAGATATGATTACAAGCTGTGTTGACATGGTGTATATCTAATACAGGGTTAGCTCCAGGTTGTTTCTTTAATAGAGCAGAGACACGCGGCGTGTATATAGATACATACATATATATAGATTAACAAGCAAATATTCAAATAGAAGAAATTAGAAGAAATAGATTTGGTTAAAAAGGTAATAAAATAAGATTAAATGTTTGCTAAATGAAGACAACATTCCATCGAAAGCATCTTCGCACGTGTTCTTGTTCATGTTAATGTAAAGGGACTGTTTCCAATAAAAAAGATAAATCTACACAAATATATTTTTTATCATTTCCCACTTAAGTTGTAATTTTTTGTATATAAATATTTTGGACTTGGAAAAAATGAAAACGGCATCCTTCGATTCACAACAAAAATATAGTTTATCCTCTATACTTGATCATTTTTTATTTTTGACAACACATAGTCAAATACGACCCAGACTATAATTCAGATGAAAACATGAAATAGTAAAGTTTACATATCCCCCAACACTAAGTTAGGTTTATAATCTATAGTTGAGAGGAAAGGGAACTTAATACTTACTTTAATCCTTATATCTTTGTAACCTATATAAAGACCCTCGAAATTTCAAAATTGTCAAAGTTTAAAATACAAACGGTTTATATACCATCAGGTTGCAAAGAATTAGAGTTCGGGTTCGTAATGATTTCCTTTTTAGGTTTATGGTTTATGGTTCTCCAGAAACTATTTTTTTCGTTCACAATCTCGGACATTCTTTTAAATTTTGAGACAAACAACACTCTTTTATGAATATGATTGTTTTATAATGTTATGTAACCAGTGCCCGAATTTAATGAATTTAAGCCGCGTCTCAAATCACCCAAAAATCGGTTTCAATTGAGAGTCGGCTTAAATCTTGAAAAACTTAATACAATTTTAAGTGGAAGCAACCATATTTGAGCCGCGGTTTAAATTTATGCCGCCGCTCAAATTCTTTAAATTCGGCCTCAGTTCTTTTTTTTAAAGGTTTAAATAAAATAAATAACATTTGTTTATATTTTTTATATTTTTTAACTGGATTAAGTGTTTATTGTTTTCCAGCTCCTCCTGCAGAACCAAATAGAACCTTGACAATTCAAATATTCAAAGTTTGAAAAACAACTTAAAGGGAAATTATGCCAAACAATATACAAAAACCATGAACTTTAGATAAAACCAGAGAAAACATTAGATTGGACAAGAAAACGATAGGACAGAATATTTGCCATGATTGCATGTCCAGGGGCGTACACAGGAATTTGCCCAGGGGGGGGTCTTACATTTTTTCTTGTATCCATATCTATGTTTGTCTCAGGACTGTCTGTTTGTTTGTGTTCAAAAACGTTAAAACGGTCTATAAGAATAAAACGTTAAAACGGTCTATAAGAATAAAACGTTAAAACGGTCTATAAGAATAAAAACTAAATTCCAAACTGAATGAAATCAATGTTGTAAACTAGATTTGTAAGCTTATTATTGGGGAACTGATAAACTGTGGTAATACGACTGTTGGACTCAGGTTATGATATTAATTAGCCCAATGGTTCTGGTAAAACTATTTACTTACAACATTAAATACACATTGCTTAAATATCGTTTTCTTAATCCACAGATTTATGGGTCCCACTGTATAACATCTACTGGATAGATTGGCGACCTAGAGTTCTCCAATTAACCTTAACCATGAATAGTCTGTTTCTAAACCAGAGACCTATCTGGATCAACATATGGTGTAATTGTTTCTCCATGTTTACACTGCACACAGAGCAGTTGGGATGATTTTCAGCAAGATACAAGGCAAGGAAGGATATGAACCCCTTTTTTACATAGACCCTTTATTTTTCTAATAAAACCCCATCAGTTTTCATAAGTCACTCATACCCCTCAACATATTTTTCTACAGACTTTCATATTTTTCAAGGAAAAGTTAGGTGCATACTTCATTGTAGCTTTATCTTAATGCAAGGAATTAATCTTATGGCTTTTTTCATATAAACATTTTTGAATTTTTTTATTTTTCAGGGATTTTTAATTCAAGGAAATTGTAAAAAAAAACATTAAAAAAAAGATCGAGTTTCAAAAATTATGAATATTAATGTATTTTTAGAATTTGTTTTTTTAAATAATGGAGAAAATATAATCAAGAAATAAAAATGAACCCCATATTCCCCCCCCCCCGCTCCAACACAAAATTCATCTTATAATAGTGTTGATTAAATGTGCACCGACACAATACAAGGCAAATTAAGTCTAAATTAACAACTGTTCAAGCTTAATGTAACATAAATAATCAAAGAATTGTTTCTATAATTGGAATTGATTATTGTTTTACTCAATGTAAGTAGAATTAAGGAGGGTGGGGGGGCAGTGTTTTACTCAATGTAAGTAGAATTAAGGAGGGTGGGCAGTGTTTTACTCAATTTAAGAAGAACTAAAGAGGGGGGGATAGTTTTTTACTCAATGTGAATATAACTAAGGAGGGAGTATTGTGTTTTACTCAATGTGAGTTGAAAAAAGGAGGAGGGAAGTGTTTAAATCAATGTGAATAGAATATAAAGACAGCAACCCAAAGGGGGTAATAAACTGAAGATGAGAAGAATGGGGTTGTTTACATTTGTGACGAATAAGGACAGATGTAGATCTAACTAAATTTTCGGCGAATTAACAAAAGTTAGAAACAATTACTTAATTTAAATCTTAGTTAATATGGAAAACTAGTTGCTAAGGTATTTTAATTTCTCTCAGTAAAATGTATCCCCCTAATAGAAACCCTTTCCACTTCAATCCAATTATAAACAAAAGATCATTTTTTTTGCAAAATTATGGGTACGCAACTTCAAATGAAATTTACTTTATTTGATCTGAGCTGGGAACTTTTGAATGGTGGATATCGGGATTAATGCTTAATCCTCTCTTTTTTAATCTTCAGATTAAATAATGCTTGTTTTCCTCTTCATATTTATCTCCAGATTAATTAACCGATCGGGATTTAGCATATCCCATTTTAAAGTTTTCAGCTCTGTTTCCATAGTTCACAAAAATACAATTAATTTTTAGTATTACTATAATCATCAATATACAGCATTGATTTCTCCAAAGCTCTTCCTCCGTTTTCCCTTAATAATGGAGATAAAATAATGAATCAAGAATAATGGGAAAATGTACATTATATTTCTCCATTGTATGTGGAAAATCTATTATATCTAGAGAATTATGTCATAACACAAGTAAACAAGTATTTACATATAATTTGATTTGTAGTTTTTATACCGTCAACTACTTGCAAGGTCGGACCGATAAGTGTGCATTGTAGATCATAGCATGCAAGAAAGATACATCACGAACCCCAGGTATCTTTTTTTTTTAAGGGACTGTATGCGTAATTTCAAGTGATCCTCTATGCAAAGATGGCAATTCTAATTCACGCGGCGGGACCCTTGAAAACGTTGTCTTATTAATTTTATAATTTTATAATTTTCAACTGTGGTTTCTCTACAAAAGTGACTTGCGCTTTTTTCCTGCAGGAGATCTTATAGGAATTATAAGAATTAATCGCGTGTCAAGCTAGAAAAACGACAATATATTTCATATTACTTATCAGTTAAAGGTTTCAAGTTTACTGTTGTAAATCGTTTATTCCCATCTATGCAAGGAAGGTCCATTGAAACTACGCTTACAGTCCCTTTAAAGGGAGTGTTCGCGAAAAATGAAAGGGGGTATAGGCTTAATGCGATAAAAAAGCGCTTTTGATTGCTACTAATCTTACTTCTATCTGTTGCGTCTATGAGGAGAAAATTGTTAAAAACGACTAGTACCGAAGAACGTAGTGTTTTTTTAAAAAATAATTTTCGCTGGCGCTGGATTTTCGAACATTCCTGGAAAATATGAAAATGTCGTCTTCATTATCAAAAATCCTCGAAACAGGAATTAATGTTTTCAAAAGTAACTCTCAGATCATGAAAAATACAAAATATTATCAAATATCAACTATTTACGAATGCGTCGAAAAATAATCGATGACTACTGTTTGTAATATCTGAATGATTTGTTTGGAATTAAATTGATTTGTTCACGATCCGAGTTGAATGTTGCATCTTTCTGAGTATGGATACTACGTTCTTCGGTATTAGTAGTTTTTAACAATTTTCTCCTCATAGAGGCAACAAATAGAAGTAAGCGATCAAAAGCGCTTTTTTTATCGCATTAAGCCTATACCCCCTTTCATTTTTCGCGAACACTCCCTTTAAGTAAAAAGTGTAATGCTGTTTGTGGGAGAAATGAAAACAAACTCGGTGCTGATTAAGCAGAGTTTTTTGGTATTTACTTCTTGATGGGGGGAGGGGGGGTGGGAGCTTAGGAGCCAGTTATTTTTGTTCAACGATTCAAATTTAAAATAGGAACCAAGAACCAAATCTAAAATAGGAACCAAGAACCAAATCTAAAACAGGAACCACGAGAACCAAATCTTAAAATAGGAACCATAACGAACCAAATCTAAAACAGGAACCACAACGAACCAAATCTAAAACAGGAACCACGACGAACCAAATCTAAAACAGGAACCACGACGAACCAAATCTAAAACAGGAATCACAGACCAAATTCCAAAACAGGATTCCGGAACCATGGAACAAATTCAAAGATTCAAAGGGAGTTTTCTTTTCTTAAAAAATGTTACTTTTGTTTTGCTTTTATCTTAAACTGTTCTTGGCAATATTTCAAAGTCTTTATTTGGTTATAAAACACATAATCTTTTTTCTATAAAATTCACAATATACCGTTTTTATTTCTGTAAGAATTCAAACTGTTTTTGTTTCTCTAAGTGCGTTTTTTTAAAAAAGTAAATGATTTTATTCTGGTAAAAAGCCATTGAAATTATAATTCTTTGATCTTCTCTTTTTCTAGTTAAATCCTAAATGAATAAATTTTCAATTAATCATAAATATTTGAAATCTATTTATATATATTTAAGCATAAGTATTTACATGATTGCACATTATAAAAGTTTATTTTATTATCACGATTGCTCTTGGTTTTTATGAGATTTCTGATGAGACTCGTATTTGGATATGAAGGAAAGATATTTATCCTGACTGGACGGAGGAACCTTGTCCTCCGGAGCAGATTTAGAATTCTTAATAAACGATCTCGGGGGAATACGCTGGATCTCAGGTTTAGAAGTAATTAAGATGGGTTGACTTGAATCAATATCCTGGAAACTTTTACTCTCTCTGTGCAGCTGGTTGGGATTATTTTCTGATTTTTCTAGGTTTAGATAAAACGGGTTTGGATAAGGTTGTAGCCGGGACGGATTTGGTTTAGAGGTAGGTTGCTCTTTCAAACCTTCTTCTAATTGTTGAACCTGGTCACTCTTAGTATCACCTAGAATTGAGTCCCAGGGTCGTAGAATAGATTGGTGTATAAGATTGATTAATCTTTCTTTGATTGTCTCCTCTTTAGGAGGTTCATCCTTCGTTTGTATTACTCCTGGAGTAACATTTACTGGCATCTCTTCTCTGTGGTTCTTATCACTTTCATTAATATCAACAATATCATAGTAGGCTCCATCCTCATCAAATCGTTTCAGAGATACCTTGGGAGATTTGACAGGTCTTGGTATCTTTACACTTTTCACAAGTTGAGTTTTCTTCGGAGCTGTGGGGCGGAATATATTTGGGGAAAATCTTGGTTTTCCTTTGATTTTCTTTGGTTTTACTTTAACCTGAAATAAATATGTTTTTAGATATTTATTTAATAATTCAAATTCTGAATTTTAAAAATTAAAGATAATAAAAACCTTAGGTTTCCGGGGATTCTCACGAGGTTTATATCTGGGGGGTTCAAGATGGTTGATCTTGGTAGAAGATGTGGTGGGGCTTCTTACAGGGTTCGGACGAATCAAATTGATGGGAGAAGAGGTAGGGGGTCTGCCAGGGTTAGGACGGATCAGCTGGGGATGAGATGTGGTGGGAGGAAGAGCAGGGTTAGTACTTTTTGTTTCTTCTTCAGAAGAAATTCCATTCTCCATGTCCTCGAAAAATGTTGCTTTTATAATCTTGTTCTCTGGTAGATATCTAGGTGGTATCTCAACCTGGGTAGACAGTTCAGTTCGGTTAGTTCCAGGTTTAGGTGAACTTGATGGTATGGAGAACTCAGGACTAGAACTTAGTTTTACAGAACTTCGGAGAATAGGTGGATATCTGATTGAAGAAGGTTTAAATCTATTAGCCGGCCTAGAACCGAAGCTAGACGAACCTTTCCAATAATCTTGTTTAAATTTATTTAAATACAAACTTGATTTACTTAAAAAAGACAAAGAGGAATCAAATTCTCGAGGTGGGGGAGGAGGATTATAATTCTGGATACCTGGAGCATCATGGATCTCAGACTCGGTCGGATCATCAATTGATTGATAAACAAACTCCTCTCGGTTATAGCTAGGAGTTTGAGTAGTTCTGATTACTAGTTTATCCTTGTTAAAACCGGTGCGTTCCTCTGAATAGTTCTTGATCCTCGGTCCTCCTGGATTCTTAAATTCTTTTTCTTTTTGAAGAATCGTATCCATCCCAACACCTTCTGTAATTGATGGAAACCCAAAGAAGTTATTTTTGAATAAACCGAAAGGTATAATTTTTGGAATGGGCATGAAATCTTCAAAGTCATATGGTGTCTGTCCAAATGGGTTTGTAATTTCCATTGGATTAAAGAGTGTAGTGTCATCCTTCTCGGAGTCATCATCCTCTTCAATCCTGTCTAGTAAACCAGACTTTCCCTCCCATTCAGATACTTCGTTCTCAGGGTTTAAAGGAAGTGCATCTGACCAGTCCACATCTTTCTTCCGTATCCTGCTCCGGGGTTGAACTTGTGTCTCTCTATTCTTAAAATGTTTTCCACTCCTTGGAAACTGAACTGGTTCTCCACTCTGCTTCCCGGAGAACTTGGCCGGTTCTAACAGGTTGGTGTTACCCATCTCCAAGTCGGGCTGTACTGGGGTTCCACTCCTTCTAGAAAACTCATGGGTTTTCACGTTTTCTTCTCTGTAACTGTTATTAGGTTCTCCTGACTCTTTTTTTATTTGGATGGAGTTTCTAATCCTTTTTTCGTAAAATTTTATCGGTTTTCGTGACAGTAATGTTTTTCTTATGGCTTCAGTAATTGGCTTAGTGGTTGTTTTAGTTGTAGAGGTTGTGGTGGTGGTAAATGTGGTTGTCGTTGTAGTAGTAGTAGTAGTAGTAGTAGTAGTTGTTGTTGTTGTTGTTGTGGTTGTTGTTGTTGAAGTGGTTGTCATCGATGTTGTTGGCGCTGTGGGTAGAAGAGTATACTTATACTTCAGAACCTCACCACTAGAACCTTTCTCATTGATAATTATACCTTTTTTCACACTTTTCTTTCTCAACTGTGGATTGTTATAATAAAGAGGTTCGGATAAATTTTCAAAATAATTCTGTGGTTCAGGTTTAAAGTTTTTAATTTGTTTTGTATCAGGTTTACTCAGCTGACTTTCTGGAGAGAGTTTGAAAAAATCTAAGGTTTTCCAGTGATATGGAGAAATATCAAATTCAACCTCTGAATCTTCCGGAAAGAAAGACTTTTGCGAAGTCCAATCCCAAAAGTTAAAAGCCTTCGAAGTTTTCGAAACATCTACTTTGTCTAAATTCAACGTGAGATATCTCTCTAAGGTTGGACTGATCGAAGAATAAAAGGGACGGCTAGTGCTCAGTGGTATGGATGGGGATTGAGAAACTAAAAGGACGTTTGTATAGAGTGGAGATATTGTTGTCATAGTGACTGTTCTGAAGGTGGATAGAACAGCAGGGACTGGAGAACCTGGAGAACTTGGAGATATTAATTCAAAATTTTCGTTATCTGGGATAGTTCTTATTTCGGGAGATTCCTCAACATGGGGTGGAGGGATTCTTCTGTATTGATAACTTAGCAGATGTTTATCTGAGCCATTTTCCTTCTCCTGCTCTTTGGTTTCCTGCTCATTTTCCTTCTCCTGCTCATTGGTTTCCTGCTCATTGATGCGCTCCGGAGTTCTTCTCAACTGAACCCTGTCCTGCTCAAAATACACTGGATAAAGGTCCGATGTTGGAGTAACTATTTGAGGGAGTAAAACTCGAGATTTTATTGAGATTTTTTCATTCTTAGATTTCTTCTCGTTGAGCTCATCCTTATTCTGATTTTCTTCAACCTGGAGAGTGTTCTCTACTGGCTCAATACTTGGGATCGCTCTCTTCTTATGCATGTACTCCAAGGTATTAATGAACCCGTCGTAGGAACCTCCCTGAGAAGTTTTGAACCCAGACAGGGTTGGAAACCTCTGAAAGAAATCTGACATGAATCCAGCTGAGGATGAATCTGCTCCGGATAGAGGGAGAATAGAGAGAAGGAGAAGAACCATTAAATTATCCATCCCGGGTCTAAATGAAAGATACTTTAAAAATGCTTGTTAACGTAATATAAAGTTACAACTACATTTAAAGTGTTGTTAATTCATCCTTTTAAATTTAATTTAAGGCTTAATTAAAATCCATCGCTAAAATCCCTAATTGCACGGTTAAATTGAACTCATGTTAAAAATCCTAGTAAGCGTAACATTATTATTGTTAAAATCAACAGTGCATGTCTTAATTAAGAATAATTTTAATTACTCTATATTATTTTCACCTTTAATGATGTTTTCTAATAATTGAAATTTATTTTTGATTATTTCAGATTAAATTCTGATTGTTCTCTGTTAATCATTCTCAGTCCTAGACTTGTATAGGATAAGTCACTAGGGTTGTATCTGTTCTCCGACTGAATATGAATATGCATGGTTTGTGTATGCAGAATTATTCTCACGGTCTCAACCCGCAATCATTATATCATATGCAAAAGAAACAACACAGAAAAACTGGGGTCACTCCAGCACTATTCCGACCACCTGACATATTTACATCAGCTCAAAACTTAATTTAAACTGACTTATATACATCAGCTCAAATTTAAACTACTAACTTAATTATTCTCAAATATTGACCGTTGATTTTGTGAGTTATTAAATCATCTTATAAAGGAGTTGAGTCTTTGCCACAAACTCTAATTTAAAATCCCTATCTTTTCAACCCGATGCGGTAGACCTTGGATAGTTCTAACTCTGAATTCCTCTAGATCAAATAATTTCAATTATGAAATGTTATCAAATGTTTACACCACTAAAGGTTGCGAAGATGCAACGAATCGTATAAATTACACATCTTAAAAATTACTTAATTATTAAACGTGTCAGCTCTTGTTCCTTTCTTGGTTATTCCTCTTTATACCTTATTCTGGTTTCCTATTTTAGATAATACATATTGATAATTTACTGTTCAAACTTTTCTTTTATTTTCTATTTCTTTGCTATGAAGTTTAAAAATAGGTCTGAAACATCAGACTGAAGAGATAAAAGGAATTTAAAATTAAAGTTTGATGTGAGCAATGATTTGTATTAAAGTATTTGTATTCACTAATCACTTGATGTCATTCGCCATTTCTCATTTTAAACCCAAAGCTAAAATGAAATAGACTTTGTGATGTTCAGTTAAAAAATTCCTCCAAGTAAATTAGAGCAGGGATTAAGCCCCTCCTCCTTGTATTTTAACTCCTGGTAGCTCCAATACATTTCTAGATTTTTCCTTCAGATAGAGATTGGTTGAACTCCCCTCTCCTCCTTGTATTTTAACTCCTGGTAGCTCCGCTACATTCCTAGATTCCTCCTAGTTAGAGATTGGTTGAATCCCCTCTCTCCTCCTTGTATTTTAACTCCTGGTAGTTCCAATACATTCCTAGATTCCTCCTTGTTAGCGGTTGGTTGAACTCCCCCCTCCTTCTTTTATTTTAACCCCTGGTAGTTCCAATACATTTCTAGATTCCTCCTAGTTAGCGGTTGGTTGAACTCCCCCCTCCTTCTTTTATTTGAACCCCTGGTAGTTCCAATACATTTCTAGATTCCTCCTACAGTTAGAGGTTGGTCGAACTCCCCTCTCTCCTCCTTATATTTTAACTCCTGGTTGCTCCGCTAACATTCCTAACATATGTTCAATATTGAATGCAAGGTTGCCTCAAACCAAGGAACGGAGCAACAAGGTTTCTCAGGTTTCCTTAAACCGAAGATTAACATCGTGTGGCAGGGGCACATTCACTAGATTCTGAATCTATCAATAATATAAGAAAATAAGTATTGAAAACATGATTTGAAGTTTTATATATATATATATAAATCATTATCATATCAAATATGATTTATCTTTTCATTTTTACAAAATACAAGACAAATAGTTACAGGGTTACCCACAAAGGATGAGACTTCAGAGACGACTGTACGGAACTTGCATTGTCTGTTTTCTTATGTTTGCGATTTCCTGCATCTGCAAGCTTGTTTTTGTCTAAAGTAATTGAGTCCTTGCCACAACTTCGGTTTTTCTAATCCCTATATCTTTTGAACCCAATGTCGTAAACCTTTGATATTTCAAACTTATATTATTTGGTCTTACAGAAGTCATAGTTTGAAATGGCAAATGTCTACAACATTGGACTGCAAAGATATAAGAATTAGAAAATCAGAGTTTGTGACAAAGACTCAATTCCTTTGAAGAAAATGTCTTCCATTGAATAATTTTTTCTTCAAAGTTCTAGTCTACAAAAAAGTCGTATTTTCAGTTCAAAATCCACGAACATTATTTGCATTAAAAGATATTGAAGACTATATAAAATCTAATTGTGATCATTGTTCAGTATTAATTTAATAAGACTAAATGTTCAAAATATTTATTCTCTCAAGAAAAAATTTAAGAATGTTTTATTTTCTCTTATAGGTTCTAACATATATACAGGGTTACCCACGAAGGATAAGACTGTACAGACGACATTAAAGATATGACGATCCTAAGGTTAAGTCTTCCGACTCGGATAAAGTATTAAAATTGCTGGGAATCATAAATATGAGGTAACCCTATATTTACGTTTCTTAACTATGATAACTAAAATAAATGTCGTCATATACATCAGAAAATTTGAATAATTTACCGACTTTAATCCATTTCTTTACTTTAATATGATATATCGACACTTTTTTGATAAAATGCTCAAATCCATGATGCACCAGACCTAAAGTTTTCTTTAGTAAAAATTTTATAAAGATGTTAAAACTCACAATTTTTTTGCTTTTTTTACATTTCAATACACTATGTAAACTAGAACAAAAATCGTCAAAGTAAATGAAGATGGTTGTCAATGCCAAATGATCCGACTTGAAACACTGAACTCAGAAACGCTTAAATCTAGAAAAATCCCATGAAAATAAAAAGATTATCAGGACAATGATCTATGTTTTTTGATTGGTAAATTGCCGAATGAGTTTTGAATTTATTCTTTTTTTAAATGAATGTTACTTCCATTTTGCTACTGGATAGTTTTGCAAACAGAAAACTCTAATTTAGAGAAAGGCTGCATACTCTCTAAACTCTAGTCGTCTTATACAGGGTTACCCACAAAGGATGGGACTTCAGAGACGATTGTACAAAATTTATACTGTCTGTTTCCTTATATTCACGATTCCCTGCAACTGTGATCTTTTTTGTTTCTTTGTCAAATTTCGAGAGTTTCGGGTCGTCTTTACAGTCTCATTTTTTTGTGGGTAACCCTGTATATCAATACGAGGAAAACGAATTTCTATTTCAATTTTGATTTCTACCAATCTTTCAAAAGCAGAGACACATAAACATGTAAACAAAGAGAAGTTGTCAATTAACAGCTTCTTTTTAATATGTAAAGTACAGTGAAACCCTTAATAACGAATACATCGAAAGAATTCATCAAATGTCGTATTCTTCACTTTCTGATAATGTTATTGTGTATATTGTATATTTTTATAAATGAATATTTTGCAAACATAAAACATTCATATCATGCATACACTGTATAGTACAGTTTAAAGCGTACAGTGTTATCCTTAAAGACGATATAGACGACTGGAAACAATTTAAATATGACGATTTGACGTTTATTCTGAATATGCTACATAGTCAAGCTTTAAAGGGTGTACTAGATAATCTGGAAAAGATGGAAACATGTGTGCAGCTGCAGGGTTTACGGAGAAGTTTAAAGATTTAAGGCTGAATAAATTTCGTACAGTTGTCTGTAAAGTTTCATCCTTTGTGGGTAACTTTGGTAGAACTGTTTTCATTAATCAAAGCACGAAATAAATCTTGAAATAAGACGACATTAGCTATTTTCATTAATCAAAGCACGAAATAAATCTTGAAATAAGACGACATTAGCTGTTTTCATTAATCAAAGCACGAAATAAATCTTGAAATAAGACGACATTAACTGTTTTCATTAATCAAAGCACGAAATAAATCTTGAAATAAGACGACATTCTTGACTGAATTTGTAGGATTTGTTTCTTAAGCTTATACTGAAGTTATGACTAACAAACAGCGGAAGGAATGTCGTTTTAGCTCCTTCTTTTAGTAAGAAACATTGTTTAGGTCTATTTTTTAAAGGGAGTGACCGGCTATGTAAGGTTGTTGAACTGAGTAAGCAGTGTTGTGGAAAGGTTCTTTCGGATTCATTTGAGACATATTAAACTTTTTAAAGATCTGTAAATCCTGAGTTTAAGCCCAAATTCGACGCTCAAAACTCCTACTTTGGGGGTGGATACGTTTTCAGAATTAGTTTTTTTTTTAAATTATCAGATAACGACGACATAAAATGTAAAAAAGTTCTACAATAAACTACAGACGTCATGTATAGGAACATGTTGAGAAAATAAAAATTAATCTTATCATCGAAAATAAGTAATCTTGTTCAATTATTAGTTTCTATTATCTCATTATTTTGGTTTCTCATTATTCACAAAGGTGTTCGCAGATTTTCTAGATCTATTATTGAAAAGACGACATTTGAAGAATTTGAAGAAATCTGCGAATAAATTCGAAGAAAATTAGAAATTCAATATAATAATGAAAACGAAATAATTGATTTTAGCATTGATTTATTGACAAATTTCTTTTGAGAAATCTGTTCCTAACTATCTAATTAGATTGCTGTATTATTGTTACTTTATTTTTCGTTGTCGTTATTTATTAATTAAAAAAAAACTAATTCTGAAAACGTTTCCACCCCCAAAGTAGGAGTTTTGAACGTCGAATTTGCGCTCAAACTCAGGATTTACAGATCTTTAAAAAGTTTAATATGTCTCAAATGAAACCGAAAGAAGTTTTCCACAACACTGCATACTCAGTTTAACTACCTTACATAGCCGGTCACTCCCTTTAAAAAGAAATAAACCAAACAAAAAAGAAAGGAATTCAGTCTTTCACAAACTTTACTTTTCTAATCCCTATATCTGTATCAACCCAATGTCAGAGACCTTTTATTATTGTGTTTGATTTTATAATCTAAGTTTGAAATATCAAAGATTTACACGTCACTAGGTTGCATATTCTAGAGATTAGAAAATTTGAGTTTTTGGTGGAGACTGAATTCCTTTTCTGGATATGGGACTCGTAGAACAATATGCTCTGTAAGTTTTTCATAAAGAATTAAGAAATTAAAAAAATTATCGTTTAATATTGGAAAACAAATAGTTATTTAAAAAAAATACTAATTTGTGATACAATGTATACAATATATATTTGAAAAGTCTTAAATCTCGTTCTGAACCACGTAAACCTTGTATTTTTATCTTGTGTCAGAATCCTTTAAAACTAGTTTTCTCATCTAAAAGCAAGATTAACTTTCTAAAAGTACAAATGTAACATTATAACTTTCGAGGACGAATACAATAGAACTTTGAAGATTCTAATAAAATATTTGACTCAGACTCCTTTAAATAGTGCTTTCAATACCACTTTTCTTCGTACATAAATTAAGTGAAGTGGCCTTGCAAAGTGAGAACCAGAAAACTGTGGAATAAGGTGATGAAATATTTAAGTGTTACAGCATAATCGGTTTTTCTTGTTTTCACTGTGAACCCAAGACATTAAGGATAAAAAATACAAAATTTCTTTCAGTCGCATTTTTTTTCTTGCTCCCCCTCCTCATCCTTGTTTTCAATCTGGTCCGTTTTCTGCTCCGAATCCTCCTCCGCCAAGTGAGATCGGTTTCTCAGCTTCTCCAAGGCCTTCATCTTGAACCTATTCTTGGCTCTGATAACCTTGAGAAGGCACTGGTAGGCCTCGTGCATATCCTGCTGGGTTACAGACCTGGAATTCTTTACTCCGCTCTCTGAAACCAATCAATTTAATTAATCAATCTATCTATCGAACTATCTATAATTTTCTATCGTTAAGTTCTATCGTTAAATTGTCCATTATCCATCCTGTAAATAGTATTATTATTATTAAACACTTTCCGCAAGTAATCTCTGTACATTCAGGGTTCTCCTTTTCTACAGATATTTACAGTATTCTCTTTTATTTTAATACAGCGAAGCAATGGTTGTCGTCTGTGTTCTTTTTCAAATTAGAAATGCCTTCTTTTTTTTACTAGCTGGAGTACCCGGTGTTGCCCAGGTCGTAAAAACACTTTTAAAAAGTCTCCTGCCACCCCAGGGAAACCCATGCATGGTTCCCTAAAAAAAATGTCAACCAATTCGGTCCAACCGTTAGGTCAGCTTTGGAAAACTGTTATATATTCATAATATATATTTTATATATGAGCATAGAACGTTATGAAATATATTGCCGGTATTTTCCTTGATTATCTACTGAAACGTTTGTAATTAATGAACACTGTACAATGTTAAGTCCGGTTCATTTTAAGAACCGGGCCGAACATCTAACCAGCTAGAGCAAGCTGTACACACACAGATTATACCAGGCAAAACGGATGGCAACTTCGTTGTTTTTTATTTTGGGAATATTAATATTTACTTTCCAAAAGTGGTAGAATATATCATTCACATTCAAATTTTTGAAAAGCGCGTTGTACATAGAATATTCTAGACTTTGTACATAGAATATTCTAGACTTTCAGGGAATAAATGTGACGTCATTTGTGTTAAGTAAACACAGTTCACTAGCGTACACTCAAATTTTTCGGCTTTTTACGCAGGATTTATGAGATATTGACAATGATGACCAGTTTTAGGTACAGTTGTCAATCGGGGATTTCTCCCTTTAAATGGAGAGTTCCTTTAAGAAAAATTCGAGAAGTTCAGAGCTCTGAATAACAAAGATATGAAGTGTTTACCATCATCCTTAAACCTTGTAAACCTCTTTTTTCTTAATTTGTAAATTCTATTTTGAAATATCTTAACTGTCTCTTAGTTTGTACTTGTTAATCCTAGGATTGTCGAAAGGCTGCCTGGAACAAGTTGTTATTGACAGAAGTTGCAATTCCATCTCCAATAATGATTTAGATTCTGATATTACAGGAAACAGAGCAGTTTAATCACAGTTCAACAAGAATTTTGAATAAATGAAATTTATCGCACAGAAACGTAAAAAATGTCCGGGAGTATGGTTTTAAACTTGTAATTGTATTAAAATTTTATGTTTACACCCTGTGGAAAAATGATTCCCTGTGAAAAGCAAGGTTGAATTCTCAAAACCAGCTGTTATTCACCAGAATTGAATTGAAAAATGAAAAAATAAACAAGCCTTATTCAAGACAGTTTTCTAAAATTTAATAGATATCCTTCTTCTATGATTTTCCAATTGTTTCTGATCGAGAAACTAAGGGATTGTTTACTTATTTGATTAAATTTTAAACTTTTTCGTACATTTTTCCAAGAATCTTTGAATTCTTTTTTGAAATTAATCTATTTTTTAATTAATTTCATTAAATAATAATCTATAATGTTCCCCCTCGTAATACCATTCTACGCTAATACTACTTTTCCCTGTAATTACTAGACTACTGTTCCCTTTATACATATTATTACCTAGACTACTGTTCTCTGTATATCTATTATTACCTAGACTACTGTTCCCTTTATACCTATTATTACCTAGACTACTGTTCTCTGTATATCTATTATTACCTAGACTACTGTTCCCTTTATACATATTATTACCTAGACTACTGTTCTCTGTATATCTATTATTACCTAGACTACTATTCTCTGAATACCTATTATTACCTAGACTACTGTTCCCTGTATACCTATTATTACCTAGACTACTGTTCCTGTATACCTATTATTACCTAGACTATTTTTCCCTGTATACCTATTATTACCTAGACTACTTTTCTCTGTTTATCTATTATTATTACCTAGACTACTGTTCTCTGAATACCTATTATTACCTAGACTACTGTTCCCTGTATACCTATTATTACCTAGACTACTGTTCTCTGTATATCTATTATTGCCTAGACTACTGTTCCTGTTTATCTATTATTATTACCTAGACTACTGTTCTCTGAATACCTATTATCCTAGACTACTGTTCCCTGTATACCTATTATTACCTAGACTACTGCTCTCAGCTCTAAATGCTTCTAGGAGATCTTCTTCTGTATATTCCTCAAGTTTTCGTGGTGTCTTTGAACCCTTTCTTCTTCCTAATCCTAGAACAGTCATAGCATGCTCCTTGCTCATTCCAGTCTCAGTGGTTCTTCTTGGAGGTCTAAACATTGAACAACATTCCAACTATTGACCTAACCAAGAAATAAACAATAAGAACGCTCTAAACTTTGTTTTTAACAAGTGAAGAATACTTTAAAGAATTGAGTCTTTCCCACAAACTCTGTTTTTATATATCCTATATCTTTTTAAACTATGAAATCTGTTAGATCAAATAGTATACGTTTGAAATATCCAAGGTTTCCAATATCAGGTTTCAAAGATATAGGGATTAGAAAATTTGGATTTGAGGCAAAGAAGAATCAATTCCTTTATTGGATCAGGAATTCAAACTCAGTCTGATCAAGGTAGATATACCAGGAGAGCCCCCATATATCTATTTACATATTCAGTGCAGCACACTTTCTTGTCCCAATAAATATAGGAATTTGGACGATTTGAAAATCGTTTTTGATTTTAGATTGTTGATGTATGACAAACAACTTATCTTCTGGACTTTTAAAAATTTGGCTTACTTTCTTTGTATCTACAAAATTGACAGACAAATTGAATATTTAAACATTTCTCATGTTATTTAATTAATTCAAAGGAACTAAGTCTTTGCCAAAAACTCTGATTTTCTAATCTCTTTATCTTTGCAACCCAATGTCGTAGACCTTATCTATTTCAAGCTATGAATTATGTTGGGTCAAATAATCCAAATTTTGAATTTTCAAAGGTAAACATCATAAGGTTGCAAAGTTAAAGGGATTAGAAATTTTGAGTTTGTGGGAAAGACTCAATGATTAAAGAATTTGAGTTTTTATCATAAAAATCAAATTTTCTAATCCCTATATCTTTGCAATCCAATGCCGTGTCCGTAGACCTTAATTATTTCATAATTTAAACTATTTGATCTGACAGAATTCATAGAAATATCTAAGTCTATGAGATTGGGTTGCAAAGATAAAGGGATTAGAAAATTAGACAACATGTTCAGTGCTGAGGCTGCAATTACAATTAAGCAAATGAAAAACAAACGGAGAGGGGTACATCTGTACAATGAACAGGGTGATCCTATAATGGCGCAAAGACAGCGACTTATAAACATGCTTTCAAAAGTAGCGCCATAAATGGACGGGCATGAAAAATAGAAACTGCGGACGCGCAGATGGAGAAAGGAAAAAAATATGATCATTTGAAATTATTAACTATGCCCCGTACCATTTTATTTTACAAAAATTGTAAAAAAATAAATTATAAAAATATTGTTAAGAAACTTAATACTTAAGATTGTAATTTTTTTATTGAAATTTTTTTCCATAATCAACCTCCCTCGCGCATTTTCTCTGATTTAAAAAATAACTGTTTTTTTAACATTTATTGACGATTATTGAAGATATTTTCATGTTTAGTATTTTTGAATGTATTTTACCTTGAAGGCTGATTTTCATCCGATCTTTCTTTTGTTACCTCATCCCAGAAATATTTTGGAGCTGCGCTGGGCCTGGGAAAACAAATATTTATATTTAGGCCTGAATGATTTTTTGCTCTGAAATTTTTTCAATGTTTTTTCTTTTTGCGGGGGAGCCTGAAACAAAGTTAAACGTTTAGGATAAAATTATCCCGAACTATTTTGATTTCAAACATGTTTTTGAGCTAGTCTATGAATTTGAAGGTTAAAATGTTTAAAGAGGGGATGAGTGTAAGTTTATATTTTTTGATGTTTTTTAATAATTTTTCAAAAAATTCTATTTTACTTTTAAGATTATGCTTTATATATTTCTTATAGAAAGAGTGGACGTGGGGGGGGGAGAGATGGGGTGGGGGTGAATTATAAATTACTATTTTTGCCTGCGTTGTTGAAGTAGGCTGATTGTTTTCTCAAGTTTTAAACGTTTCTCATTGTCCTCAATATCTGACATCAAACTCCCGCGTCGGAACACATTTTGAGCTGGGTAACACAGAACAAAACAACTTTTGAGAAAAATAATTCTTTTACTTAAAGGAACTGAATTTTTGCCACAAACTTAAATTTGTTATTCACTATTTCGTTGGAACCTGAAGTTGTAAACCTCTGATTTTTTTTAACTTTAACTATTTGATCTAACAGAATTTATAGTTTGAAATATCAAATGTCTACGATATTGGTTTGCTAAGATATTGGAATTAGACAATTTGGTTTGGTGACAAACACTCAGTTCTTTTTCATGATTACTGGGATGAATTGTTTCTCATTTGTTCCATTGTTAAATATTGTTTTTGGTTTAAAACATGAAATTCTTATCATTTATTAATACATTTGGGTTTAAAGACCTGAATTTAAAACTCAAACAAGCAAAAAATAAGTGAGATTCCTGGCAAAAAATTAGTTCAAGGCAGGTAATGCATTAAAGGGACTCTAGGTGTAATTTCAAGTGACCAATTATTTGTACGAGTGGTGTACCCTTCAAACTAATAATTGATCAAGGATGACAGACTTTTCAATTTGTCCTTATTTATCAACACTTGTTAATTTGTCCTTATTAATCAACAGGATCGCTTGTAAAGGTGTCCTTATCTATCAACAGGAACTCTTGTCAAGTTGTCCTTATTTATCAACAGGAACGCTTGTCACGTTGTCCTTATTCATCAACAAGAACGCTTGTCAAGTTGTCCTTATTTATCAACAGGAACGTTTGTCAAGTTGTCCTTATTTATTAACAGGAAAGCTTGTCAAGTTGTTATTATTTATCAACAGGAACGCTTGTCAAGTTGTCCTTATTTATCAACAGGAACGCTTGTCAAGTTGTCCTTATTTATCAACAGGAACGCTTGTAATTATTTCTAACTTTGTCTGCAAGAATTAAAGAAATATTACTATTTACTCTATAGAAATCACAGTCTCGCAGGAAATAAATATTTATACATTCGAATTTTTTAAAACTGCAGGTTTGTACATAATGCATAATAATAATAACAAAGAACCATCATCTACAATTTATATTAATAAATAAATGTTACAGCCATAATCTGAAAATTTAAATGCACCAATACTGGGTTTGTGATGACATTGAAATGGTGAGTTACATAAAGACCTTTTGAGTAAAAAAAAGTTTCTGCAAATTGATATTTTTTGTAATCTACAATTTTTAAATATTAGATTTTATTTAAGTAAAAGAACATCAAAATAAGGTTTACAAATGTCTTAATGCCTAAAATTAACAATAAAATAATGAATAAGAGGAGTATAGTTAATCCGCACAATATGGATTTCAATAATGTTAATCTTATTCCAACCTTTTAACACCCTTATCATCTTTAAATAAATCGTAAAATTAGATTTTAAAAAACTACGCTAAATATCTGAAAAGTTCTGTTTCCTAAACTGGTTCTCCTGCTGCCTCCAAAGATGCTGCTTCTTCGACTATCCTCGCCACTCGTCAAATCACTCTCTCCTCCTGGATTTCCTCGTGAATTGTCACTCCATAGTTTTCTGAATAAAATTAAAATAACATTTAAATCACTTATTTTAATCCTAGAAATCTTTCAAATAGATTTAGAAGATCTAGAAACTAAAAAATTGTTTGAAAATATTGTGTGCTTTATAATTCTTACTCACTTCATGGTAAATTTTATCATGAACGTGCTTTAAAGTGATCATCGTGCTATAAAGTTAAAAAATTGAAATTCACTTAATTTTTTATTTTTGCTTTCTTATAAAGCTTATTTTATCTAGAAACAGGCATAGCAATAAGAGAAGTACACAAACGTTTCATGAAATTACTTATAACAATATTATTTTGGCACGACATGCTGTAAAGTTTTTAGACTTTTCGAAAAATTACTGACCAAAAAACTTAAAACACTGCGAACCAAAATAATAGTATTATAAATAGTTATATTGGAATTGCAGTAGTTCCAAATCCGAGCTCTTTTTTTACAAAAATATTAGTTCTCCATTAACTATTTTTTAAATGTTGCTAAAGTTTAATTCTAAATCCCTTTATCTATGCACGCAGTTTAATGGCAATTAGAAAAAAGGAAATGAATGTTCTTTTCTTTCTTACTTTTAACTAAAGTTGTAGCTTTAGATTTTGTTATCTGCAACAAACTCTTCCTTAGACAATACACATGTGCCCTGATGATCAGTTACAAATATTTAAAATTTTAAATCCTTGGTGAAATTCCACAATTGAAAGAAAGAAAGACGACGACAATAAGTCCATGATTTCTGGTTACCACTGTACTCCTGTCTTAAACCTACCCAAGTTCTTCATGGATTGATTCTCTTTTCTCCGATCCTCTTCGGGCAGTGGAAAAAATTGGTATCTCCAATCCTTCATTTTTCTTTTCATTTTCCTTCTTTTTCCCTTCTACCTTGCTCTTCTTCTTTACAGATTTTCTCTTTTTCTTCTCCTTGGTTGGTTTAATTACGTCCATGATGTTTAAGAAGAAATATTGTTAGTATTGTCAAGCTGAAGTTCTAAAAACAAACTGAGAACTTGTTTTTCCGTTTGCAAGAATATTGGAGCAAGGTGAGTTTATCAGGAATCAGGATACTTACAACTATTGATACCACCCAACCTCTTACCTTCATAACACATCCCAACCTCTTACCTTCATAACACATAACACAGGGTACTTGGAACTATTGATACCAACCCAACCTCTTACCTTCATAACACATAACACAGGATACTTACAACTATTGATACCACCCAACCTCTCACCTTCATAACACATAACATAGGATACTTGGAACTATTGATACCACCCAACCTCTTACCTTCATAACACATAACACAGGATACTTGGAACTATTGATACCAACCCAACCTCTCACCTTCATAACACATAACACAGGATACTTGGAGCTATTGATACTAACCCAACCTCTCACCTTCATAACACATAACACAGGATACTTGGAACTATTGATACCAACCCAACCTCTCACCTTCATAACACATAAAACAGGATACTTACAACTATTGATACTAACACAACCTATCACATAAAGTGTAAATTTTGACCATTTTTTGATTTTTTGTTGCCGAATATTTTCTAATTTTAATAATAATAATGACATCTAGGTAATATATGATTATTAACAATTGTTTAAATGATAACGGGGCCTTTTCTTGCTGAAGAGTATTTATTGATAAATTGTTGCAAAAATAGAGATAGATAGATAAGTATGTGAACAAATTCATTTAGCTAGATAGATAGATAAATTAGTTTTGATAGTTAAAGATAGATAGATAAAATAGACCATAACAGTTTATATTCTCACGGTATAAAGTTATATTAAGTAATTATAATAAATCTGAAATATGTTTTTCTTGCACCTGCAATATACAGTCTGCACCATTATACATTTAGAGATAATTCTTTTATGTTCTTATCCATACACCTTATCCATCCATGCATACTTAATCATTCACATAATCCATACTCATTCACACACTTTACCCATACTCATTTACACTCTTTATCCAATACTCGTTTAGAGACCTTATCCATACTCATTATACCCTTTGGCTACGCCCCCGGGTTTATCATTAAATCCCTCGGGGGTTTAAATTTCCATTGATTCTAATTTGTCTGAGAGTAAATGATACATTCATACACTTTATCCATACTAATTCATTAACCTTATCCATACTCATTCATTCACATTATCCATACTCATTCATACACCTTTTCCATACTCATTCATACACTTTATCCATACTCATTCATACGCATTATCCATACTCATCTAAACACCTTATCCATACTCATTTATACACCTTAACGATACTCATTCATGATCACCTTATCCATACTTATTCATTCACCTTATCTATACTCATTCAACACCTAATCCATAATCATTCATACACATTATCCATACTCATCCATACGCATAATCCATACTCATCTAAACACCTTATCCATACTCATTCATAAACCTTATCGATACTTATTCATGATCACCTTATCCATACTTATTCATTCACTTTATCCATACTCATTCATACACCTTATCCATAATCATCCTTACACATTATCCATACTCATTCATACGCATAATCCATACTTATCCATACACCTTATCCATACGCATCCATGCACATTATAGATAGATGCTAATCCAAATTAATAATTATTAACCTTTTATTCATAAATGTCAATCAAAATTAAAATAACAGTAGTTGATATTACTGATTACTCGCAATTAATTAATAACGGATTGTTAAAGGTTTGATATCTTGGTGTTTCGCTGATATGTATTTATCTATCCAGTATGCACTTGAACTTATCAATGATTTAGTATCTTTAATTGAGATATATACGCTACGCATCCTTATACCGTCGTGGTCATCATACCATTACCGTGGGATGCGTAAGCGTCACAGTGCTGTGACGCAGCATTGCGACGCTAAACCGTCAGTTTTTGGTAAGCAGTGAGCATAGGAACACCCAGCATTAGGAATGTTATCATGATTTTTTTAATAGCACATATTTTTTTTTAATTCTAAGAATTCCTTAAACATCGTTGAACTATAATGTATTTAGGAAAAAAGAAAATTTTACCGGCTAAAAATTGCCTCATTAGTACTTGCTTCACATGAGATTGAAAACATTTCAAAAAATCAACAAACAAAAAAAAGACGGGGGGGAGGATTCTGAAAAAACATATTTTTAACATTTAGGTTGCATTTGTAGTATCTAATTGGAAACATTGATACATCCATAAAAATACCTTTGAGGCTAAGAATTAATTGTTTTCGGTTCAGAAAATTACTGGTGTTGTCCTCCGCCAAGTTTAATCATTCAAACTATTAAACATATCTTATCTTTTCTTAACATTACTAGCATTGTCATTTTGCCAATATGGAAATGGCCCTTTATAAACCGTAATAATTATTTTGTAAGATTTGTTTCAAAATACTATCTTTTTCAACCAGTATTTTCACTTTCCAACAAATGTAAAAATTCCATTTTTTTTCGGTAAAAAATAATTTTTCTATATTTGCGATTTTAATCAATTCGAATCGAACAGACAATTGTTTAGTGGCTGATTTGTAAAAGACGACTTTTTTATTCAAGAGCGAAAAACAAGATTCAGGAATAAAAATCTCTACTCTAAAGTTAAAACTTTTGTGATGCTAATCTCGGGACTAATAATTCCTCATCGGTATCCCCGTGGTGGTCATACCCTGTAGGGCTTATAATAAATGAAGGGATCAAGCATTTATCCTAAATTTTAAAAGTGCTCGCATTGAATATCTAGATCCTTTAAACAAAAGTTCTAACCTCTGTTCAATGAAAGTTAAGAAAGGTATGGAGTTTACAAAATATGGAAAACCATTTTAGAGAAATTCTAGAATGTTTATACTTCAATTAAAGTCCAAGGATGTCAGTTCTTTTAAAAAAAAATTTAATTTTTTCTTGTCTCTTGTTTTTAAAAAGAAACTTTCTTTTTAGAATTTAAAATTAGCTCCGAAACAATTGTTCTCCTATTTTATATATAACATTATTTTTTTGCAAAAGGATACTATGCAAGTTACAACCTTTTCACTCACTATATAGCTTTTTTAGTTTGACTTAGTTTGTTTCTAATTATAGTTTATCCGCTTTGGAAAATCTTTATAGAATAATCAAAAAGGGTTAGTGTAAGCATGGAAGGGCTTACTTGTCAATGTTCTTGTAATCAACAATAACAGTGGGGCGGATAATAAATCGCCTCGTAGATTTCAATGAAAAGATTTTTAAAGAACTTATTAATCTAATTTTCGAATCCATGATTCTTCAAAAGCTTTTTTATATGAAAACTTGGACTATTTCATCCAGCAGAATTTATAGTTTGAAACATCAAAGCTCTACTCAAAAAAGGTCGCAAAGATCACCGGTTTCGAAGATGTAGGGAGCAAGGGCGTATATAGGGGGGGGGGGCAAGGGAGCAGTGCCGTTACCTAGAACTCAGAGCTATTACACTTTTCAAATCTGAAACTGAAGAGTGAAGAGTATTAAAAACAGTAATTTGATGGTTTTTTCTGTTAGTTTTGTTTGATGAAGAGATAAAGTAGTCCTTGTCATGGTAATTGGACTGTATAGTGTTTGTATACCTTGAAAGTATTCAAGAAGCCAAATGTTTTGAATTTACGATTCAAATTTTGCCCCCCCCCCCAAGCTCTTAGGGGGGGGGAAATGTTTGCCACCCCTAGATTTATTACTGTATACGCCCTTGATAGGGAGTGGAAAATTAGACTTTTTTCCTTTTTGTTTGTAGGATGAATCCGGTATGTTTGTATCACTTCTAAACTATAAATCCGATATATATATATAAAATAATAAATTATATATATATATATATAATTATACTCTCCAACCTGCCAATCAGACATTTTGCCAGATTTCATGGTTTTATGAATTTTAATCATATCTGGAGAAGACAGCTTTTTACTTTTAGATTTTAGCATCCTGGTCCAGTAACTATTAATATCCCCCCCCCCCCCCATGAAACCTCAAATAAACTCTCTGTCTCTGTGTTTTTTACTTTTTTATCAAATGAAGACAAACAAAACAATATTAAAAAAACACGAAAAATTAAAAAAAAAAATTATAGATTGGACGATGGACGTAATATTAGGTAGTTTAGCTTTTATATTTTTTGTATATTCAGACTTTAAAGAATCGTCATTCTTATAAAAGGTTTGAATAGATTCATTGGTGTATATTTCCTAATATATTAGTATATTATGGGAGTTATTGTCCTAATTTATTAGTATATTATTGGAGTTATTGTCTTAATTTATTAGTATATTATTGGAGTTATTGTCCTAATTTATTAGTATATTATTGGAGTTATTGTCCTAATTTATATGATACAAAACCAATTTTGTTTAAAAAATTTATTTTGCAGATTAACAAAAATTCTTACTATTATTCAAATACAAAGAACCCATCTTAAAAAATCAATCGTCCTTGCAAGCAATTATTGGTTTTATTAGTGGTTTAGTAATTACCTATTTTTACCATGAGAAAATAATATTAAGGGTGTCCCAATAAACATGAAAATTATTCTTAATAGATATAATTGGTAATATCATTTATAAGCCTGTATTACGTCACAAGAACTCCCACCAATGTGAGTGGAGTATACTGGTCATGTGTTACAGACAGAGACCACTATACTGCACTACCATTGGTGGGAGTTCTGGTGACGTAATACGGACTTATAAATAATATTATTAATTATATCTATTAAAAATAAAAATAAAAGCTGTAAAATAATAACTGGGAAAAACCTAAGTTACAATAAGGTTTCTCTGGGATATCTTTGATTTCAGATTGGTTGCGTATTTGCTGAATATGATCTGTTTAAACATACTATTTCTAACCAAAATTGTATATATATGAATTTTCGTATAAAGGAACTGAGTCTTTGCCTCAAACTCAGATTTTCCAACCCCTATATTTTTGTAATACCATGTCGCAGAGCTTAGAGATTTCAAACTATGAATTCCGTTAGTTCAAATAATCTGAGTTTGAAATATCTAAGATTTAATCCATCAGGTTTAAAATATATAGGAATTAGACAATTTGAGTTTGTTTCAAAGACTTATTTCCTTTGACACAGTTTTATATCAATTTCTCGAGACAGGAACATCAGATATAACTTTCATGGGTCGCAATAGTGATAAGCTTTCACCCTATACCCCCTGTCATTTTTCCCTTACAGCCCCTTTAATATCTTTTGCACATAACAGGCAGACCACATATAGGAATTATTGGGATGAGGGAAACATTATTTTCGATGCTTTATGTAGATATGTTCATGAAAATATTAAATTCCCGAAATAATGCCGCGTAAATAGAAATAAAAAATCGATTTTAAGTATTTTTTTCTTAATTTTTATTTGAACACCATAAATGCAAGACCAGGCTTGTAAATTGCAATATGTCCGCATTCAAAAATAAATTATTTTATATCCTGGGGGATTCAAGAATATGAAAATTCAAAGACGACATTATATTTACTAAAAATCTATTTACGAGAAGAGTTATTATGATGAAAAGCATATAGTGGTCAACGTGGTGGAAATAATCTCCTTAGAATAAAGCACCGACAGAAAGCTTATCAATACAATATCAACGTCAAATTGTGAGGATCTTAAACAGATTTGAATATATCTGATAACGCTGATCTTGAACAGATTTGAATATATTTTGTCTGATACCGTTGATCTTGAACAGATTTGAATATATTCTGATAACGTTGACAGGAGTTTGACGATGAAGTTTCTCTGCATCCTGATTCTATCCGTCCTGATTACACAGAGTGTTGGAAGAAGACAACAACAAGGGACCTGTGGTCTAACATGCTTCAGGGAAATATAGAAACGGGAAGGACGAAAACAAGGACTAAACAGGATTAGGAAATTAGAAAGAGAATAGGACAAAGAAATTAGAAACAGAATAGGACTAGGAAATTAGAAACAGAATAGGACTAGGAAATTAGAAACAGAATAGGACTAGGAAATTAGAAACAGAATAAGACAAGGAAATTAGAAACAGAATAAGACAAGGAAATTAGAAACAGAATAGGACTAGGAAATTATAAACAGAATAGGACTAGGAAATTATAAAACAGAATATGACTAGGAAATTAGAAACAATAGGACTAGGACATTAAAAACAGAATTGGACTTGGAAATTAGAAACAGAATAGGAATAGGAAATTAGAAACAGAATAGAACTAGGAAATTAGAAACAGAATAGTACTAGGAAATTAGAAACAGAATAGGACTAGAAAATTAGAAACAGAATAAAAAAGAATGCCAGAAAAACGCCAAAGTAAAAAATGTCTCATTGATTTTCGTTTTTAAACTTTAAAGTTTTTTCGTGTTTTTTTTTCGGGGCTTTACAAAAAGTTTCGTAAAAATCTAACTTTAAGTTTGTTTGATTATGTTATGTAACAAGAATCATATTAAAGACAAAAACCCTAGAATATCTGAAAAACTAATGATGCTCATATATCTATCTAAGAGTTCCAAAAAACATTAAACATTATAAGAAATTGGCAAATGTTTTTAAAATCTTTTTTTCAATCATGCAACTAAATTAATATATGCTATCAAATTGTAAAATCTTTCCTTTCGTATCTTTAATCTCAGGAATTCCAAAATGTGGTTTTAGTTTCTTAAACCTTTAAATTGTATAAGGTCAAACCCATTGAAATCTGTTTGTCAGCTAATACGAATAATTATATAATTTTATTTGTTTATATTTAACGACTTCTTTTATGTTCTTCCAAGTTCAATTTATTTCGATGGTTTTTCGACTATAAATGATTTTGTCCCGATTTTAACTTATAAAATACACAACTTCCAAATTTATTTATGTTCTTTTGAAATTAGAAAAATACTTTTGTTTCTATGTTTATTTTGAAAAGAGCAGGATTGACGCGATGGCAGAAATTATAGAATTATTAGAAAGGAATAGGAAATATTTGGACAATGGATAGTATAATTTGTCAAAAGCCAAATCTATGAAAGTAAGAAATGAAATAAAGAACGTTATTCTGATAACGTTGATCAGTATAATTTGTCAAAAGCCAAATCTATGAAAGTAAGAAATGAAATAAAGAACGTGACTTTAAAAACAAATAGAGACTAAAGAGAATATTTTAGATGGAGAAAATGCAAAGCAGTTCTCAACACTCTCACATCTACTGACGGGGATGCAAGGTTAGAAACTTTTGAATTAAGAAGATGGGATTAAGGTTCAGGTTCAGGATTAGAGGCCTCCCTGAATTCGCAGGTAGAATTTTTTTTTCTGAATTTGCAGCAAGGATATCTTCTTTATCCTTGATCAGACAAAGGTTTTTAAAGGGTAATACCACTCTGTAAATGTGGGGTCCTACAGTACCTTTAAACCTAAAATCAATTCAAGTATTAGATAAGATTAAAAATCACAAAACAAGACTGATGAAAAATGTTTAACAGGCCAGGTCAGCGAGGAACTACGGGTCAACTCATCTTTGATAAATGCGAGGATCCTCCAGCTAAATGCAGTTGCGAGGAAGAACCAAAACCAAGTAATTATTTTAAATTTATCAATTTGATTAGGAATAATTATTATTTGAGTTGATTTATGACTTTATTAATTATCTATAAAATTTATCAAATTAAACCAAATTTTGTTAATGAAAAGATGCAGTATTGTATTTAAATATATTCTCATTATAATAATACCTGTCCCTTCATCTTATATTACCTCCCCTCCATCTTTTACCAGTCCCCTCAATACCAGAATATACCCCCCTCCCCCCCCCCCAACGTCGGTATCTAAGTTTTTCTCCGGGTATGTTCTAGAACTGAATGATGAACCCTGTCAAGCATATCAGCTGCAAACCAAGCATTTAGTCTTTATCTTTATATTCACAAGTATTTTGGCAACATCAACTATATATATATATATTTATATCATGTGTTGAATACTTCTTTTCTTATATTTCTTTATATATATATATATATATTCCCGTCTTTACGTCTAATTTTTTAATTAGCATTGATTAAATTTTACAGAAGTTATAATACTTTTGTTAATTGTTATAGTTACACAATATACATCCTTTTTTTTTAAATTCTTAAATATAAATTGTAAAAACATACATAATGTCGTCTTTAAATTTAAGTGTCTTTGATTATAGTTAAAGTACATTTAAGTACATTTAAGTACAGTTAAGTACAGTTAAGTACAGTTAAGTACAGTTAAGTACATTTAAGTACATTTCAGTACATGTTAATAAATCTAATTGTTTTATGGAGAAGTGTTTGCCACAAGCTCAAATTTTCTAATCTCTTTATCTTTGCAACCTCATCTCAAGTTATAATCCTTTGATATTTCAAACTTAAACTAATTGAACTAACATCAGGTTGCAGAAATATAGATATACGAAAATCATAATTTTTGGCAAAAACTCAATCCATTTTACAAAAAATCGTAAATTGATCTAAATTAACTTTAAATTGATGAATCCTAGTATTATAATCTCATTTAAATCATACAAGCATCAATACAAAAAATAAATCGATGATTAAATTGGTGATTCAGTTTCCCTCTAGTGTTATATTTACATGGTTCAATAAATATATTCCCCCCCCCCCGGCCCCCTCTTTTACGTTTAATGATGTTGTCAGGAAGAAAACGTTGTGTCATCCAAACAAAAAATAAATCATCTTTTTTTCAGAAGAACCAACGAAACCCCGGATGCCGAAGTCGATGCTAGATTATGTGGATGAATCGGCGGTAGACTGGTTTACTAACCTAGTTCATATTGATCAGTAATTTCATATATTTGTTGAAATAAATTCTATAAATTATTGAATCTTTTGTGCATGAATATAAAAATTAAGGAAAGGAACGAAGTTCTTGCCACAAATTCAAATTTTCTATTCCCTATATCTTTGCGACCTGACGGTTTAAACTTAAATTTGTTAAATTTAGTCTACCTAAATTAGAATATCTAATCAAATATTTCACGGGGAACAAAATCACCAAAAAAACAGTTATGTTTTTTTTAAAAAAAAAAATCTTCTTGATATGTTAACAACTAAAAGAACGTTGAACTCAATTTTATATTTTGACATCACTAATGATATTTAAATATTTAACACTATTAGTCATATAAAATCTACCTTAACACTTTTTAGAAACATGTTACTTATCTTAGTACAATTATGTATAGAAACAGGTAAAATAAATTTGTACTCCCGGATCACATGATCTTAATTTCCCGTTGAAATATAGAACTCTCAACATACATCTTTATTTTGTAACTTTTTATGCGTATGTTGAAATTCGTGTTTTCAATTTAAAAATGCATTTGTCTTCACAACATTTTTAACTATATATAATAAAGCTCAACAAACAAATATATATAGCTGGCCAAAAGGTATATATATAATTGTTCGTTTATAGCTGGCCACACGGTTAAAGCAAATTGGCAGATTTTTTTGCTGGAACCCATAGGTTACGGATACCCCGGGGGTTATATAGGATAAAGAAAATAATATTTTGTTTTGTTTTTAAAACCCGACCGGGCAACGCCGTGTACTTCAGCTATTTTCAATATAAATGAAAAGAATTGTTACCTTTAGCGTAAATGAGGCGTGTATATTATCCTGCTAAGCAGAACTCAGGGAGCTAGATTTTTTTATGATGTCTAATTATTATAAATCTTTAACTGTACGCATCTCTGTAGCTTCTCTACTCACATGTGGTTTTATTGTTCTTAACAACCAACCGGAACCCTGAGACAAAACAGACCACGGGATTCCTGAACCTGGACCCGTTCTATTATACATATCCGTCCTTCATTCTGTAATATTATTCTTGTATACTCTTTACCCTGTATTTTGTACCCTGGCCTGTATCTTTTATTCCCAATCAGTCCTGTATCTTGTATATATCCAGGTTTCCTGTATCCCTTTTTTGTATCCTTTGTCCTTATTTAGTATTTTGTATCCTGTATCGGGTCAAGTATCGTGTATCTTGTATCAATTGTATCCTGTATCTGTATCTTGTATCCTGTATCTTGTATCCTGTATCTTGTATCCTGTATCCTGTATCTTGTATCCTGTATCTTGTATCCTGTATCTTGTATCCTGTATCTTGTATCCTGTATCTTGTATCCTGTATCTTGTATCCTGTATCCTGTATCTTGTATCCTGTATCTTGTATCCTGTATCCTGTATCCTGTATCCTGTATCCTGTATCTTGTATTCTGTATCCTGTATCTTGTATCCTGTATCTGTATCTTGATTCCAGTATCTGATAGTTTACTTGTCTCCTGTTTCTTGTATCCATCTTATAAGTTAACTTGAATGTTCTTTATACCTTCTTAATTTCCCCCTATCTTCTGTCTGATTATAGCTAAACCCATCATGAACCTGGGCCCAGGTTCATGATATACTCAGGAATCATAAAATGCACTTTTAAAAATAATAAGACAATTATAAGAAGAGTTATACATTAAAAACTGAAGAAATGAAAGTACGAAGCGATGAGTAAATCCGTGAAATCACGAGTTCACCCAGTATCTCGTGCTGCCCCGCCCCTCTATACTCTGACCGACACGACGGCTGTGACGTCACAAACACAGAAAAACGAGGCTGAGAATTCCGTATACAGTCAGTATAGTCACATGCTTATTGCTTTGGCAAGCTTTAAAAAAGTTCAAAGTTAGAGTGGAAAAAATACGATTTATCTATTATATTTAAACAATTTTTTTTAATGTAAATATGAGCAATTTAGGAAAAATTACCTGGATTTTTATTCTGTATCTCTTCTTGTAAGAAAATATCCTAAGTGAGTAAACATTATATCTACATATGTTTACTGCCCAGTACACCTTGTGATTAACTAGAGATATATAACTAAAAACATGTACACACAATATTACGTTCTAGATTCAAGCATATCTGCTCAGAATCAAATCAGCTATATCTTGGGTTTTAAATACTTATTTGTTTTTTTCCCACTAAACTTTCTTAAAATATTTTTTTTGTCTTACTTAGTTAATTATTTGTGAATCTCCTCATCTTAAACATAAACAAATCGAAATTTAACTTTTTATATTCTTGTTTAAAAAAACGCAATCCATTTTTTTCTGGCACTGTTAGTCACGGGTCATTGACTTTTTGAAAATATCATATAATTGAATACTATATTTTATATTTTGTGAATTATAATCATGTTTTCATGTTCTACAAAATATTGTTCAGTTCAAGGCAAACACAATGAAATGTAAGAGGTTTCACGCCAAACTATAGTAAATTTCACGTCAGATCGGAATATTTTGTGAACAAAAAACAAAAATGTTTTACATTTTTTATATTTAACCGAATAAATTAGCTCTTCTCATTCTTGTGTGCGTAAAACCAAAACTAGAGAAGCTAGCTACGTGGTCAAGCAGAATTAGTGCCAGTGATATCTCTTATCAATTTTACCTTTTCATTTGCAGTCTATATTGTTATAGACAATGCAGAAGAAAAGACAAAAGAAAACAAAATTTAAAATTCAAGAAATTATTGAAAAGAAAAAAAGAAGAAACTTGGGAAAAATGATCACAGGGTATTATAGGATTTATATCAGAGGCGTACACAGTGGGGGCTCATGGGGGCCCAGCCCCCTCTCTGGATAAGTAAAATTTGTTGCTTCCATGGGGTTTTCAGGCCCCAACTGGTGCTGAGCCCTCCAAGAATTTTAAAATTTTCTTATGATCACAACAAAAACTACCTCCCCCCCCCGCTTTCCCCCCGCTCCCCCCGGATCTGTATAAAATATATCTTAATTGTACCTTTATTAATAGTAAATAGAAGTTCCTACCCCCTCTTTACATGTAACATAGGTCCCTTGCGAAGCATATAAAATGTAAAAAGAATATGAAGGTGAATACCGGTTTGAACTACCGCC